CTACGGCATTCTGAGACTGAGCTGCCAAATCCCACCTAGATGTAAATAAGATAAAAGCTTCAGAAAATCCTTGTTCTTACTGCTCTTAGCTTCGAGTTATAGACAGAAATACTGTGTTGGGACAGTAGAATAAAAAAGCTCAGTAAGTCAGCATAAGAATTGTATGGTTAATTTTATAGCTTATAAATGTGTATGTTGTTCTACATTTGAGACTGCTTTTCTCTAATACAGTGTGCTCATCATTCAAATTTCAAGAGCTTCAAGATGTATTTGTAACTATCAGCTATATTGATCTGAAAGTGAATGTTTTCCTCAAGAACATGGAAACTGTCATAATTGATCAAGGATTTAGCTAGACTAGGACCTATGAGTTGACCTGTATTGAATACAAATGTAGTCAAGAAATAACCTTCATAACATGGAAATGAGAAAATAATTTTTTCTGGAGGTTCTGAATTGGTACCCCTTCTGTAGCTTCTTTCTCTGAGTTGCTGTTCTAACTTACAGGCAATATTTTCTGTGCAAATTGATAGCCTGTTTTAAATCTTGCAGTTGTTGAAACTGCTTGTGCCTTGTTATTTGATGAAATTCTATTGAGTTTAAGTGCTGTGCTTTCCAATTTATTTGAAACTTTCATACTGAGAGGACAAACAAAAATGCCTGATCTGCTTCTATGTTGGGGAAAGAGATCACCAGGGAACTTCAGAGTTCTGGCTTCTACAGAGCATTGTAGAAATGATACTGCTGTGCAAAGTTGAAGTGATTAAATAAAAGCAGAAGAAAAGTCTTTGTCATAACTGTTAGACAAAATGAGTAGAGCATTAGCAATTCTTCTTGTCTCGCCAGGCTTGTTTCACATTTGGATCTTCCTGGCTTCACACACTTTGGATTCAGTGAGGTCGTGGGGTGTTGTGCAGAGGGAAACCTTCCAGAGCTGTGTGTATGGGACACTTACCTTGTAGAAAATACTTTTTTAAATATTTTTTTTCCAAATTTTGGAATTCTGAACTATACAGACTAGAGCTTTGCGCTTCTAAATTCTAAAGCTTCTAAATTCTAAAATCCTTAGTTCTCTCTTTTTTTTTTTTTTTTTTTTTATTTGAAGGACACATAGAATTATTTTCATGAAGCTTTGTGGATGGCAGCTTTTTTTTTTTCCTGTCTTCATGATTTTCATGCCATTAAATGGATATCTTCTGGAGGTCTTCTAGGTCCCACCTGAAGTAACTGCTTTCAGAGAAAAAGAAATTTAAACATTGTTTCTGATATATAAGAAACTGAATTTTTAAGTATCTTACACATTTTGTACACAGAACAGATGATGCATGCCAGGAAAATTAATCATAGTGCAGATCCTCACCCCAAAACCTTTTGTATATAAGGTATGTACAGGTTGAAGAGGATTGCAGTAGAGAAGTCTCACCAGACAGGTATTTCCTTAGGATTTCTCTGAATTAAGCTCATCAGGGATCAGTCAGCAGCACCTTCATGTACTTGGTGTTTGACTGCTGTAGTACCATGTTCTGGGAAGTCCTGCTTTTTGGCTCAGTGTAGGAGCCAGTTGTTACCTGTGGCTTTTCTGTCCTGTGAGCTTCCATTGAAACTGTAATCACTGTGTAGCTCAGCAGAAGCATGATCAGTGATTTAACAAGCATCTCATTTGATTCATCTAACCAGTACATTGAAGTATATGTTTTTTTAAGCATCTCATTTTAATTGCTTAGTGGCATGTAGAAAGATACAGCTGTACAAACTCTTCTTCCAGAACTGGTGAATATAAAAATCTAATCTTATGTTAAAGGATATCTTCAAATTTGATTCAGACATCTGCTGTATGGGCTATTATAACTGAGATACTGGAAAATTGCTCTTTCCATGGGCATTGGGCAGTTTTAGTCATTGACATCTTTAGAGGACTTTCATAATAATCAAAAAGGAGGTTAGCAGGCAAATTCATCTTTCCCATAACTGAGTTTTCAGTTTCTTTTTTGCACCAATTCTGAAAAGAGAAATTAGTATTATTTATTCTGGACTATTAACTCTTTACTAATGCTTCTTATACACTGAAATACTTTGCTTGTCCTAAACCAGCATGGGGAGCAGTTGCCTGCTTCCTCAATTTACTATTTTCAGGTTGGAATCATCCTGCGTTTTATGTCAAAATCCAAGGTGCAGCTTAGAGCACAGTGCCTTACCAAGGTGTGCACTGGTTGTGTCAGTTGTCCTGCTCCTAATAGTGTTTTTCAGAAAGTATAAGCAATTAAAAAAGGAAAAAGTTCATGCCTTCCTTGCTGATAATTCCATAGATCTGTAGCTGAATTTTTAGATGAGTCTTTATTGGCCGGATTGACCAACTTTTCTGAAGACCAGTTCTCATTGGGGGATTTGTTGCATATTAGATAAGAAAAATAGAAAAACCCCAAGCAAACCTAAACATTTAAAGGTAATTACATTGTATGGTATAGAATCCACAGCTGAATGGTTATTTAAATCAGTAGAATAAACTTTCATCAGAGTGTACATTCAAATGTTCTCCTCTGCAGCAGGTCTTCCTGGTTCAACTTTCACGTTTAAAAAATAAAGGTGTAAGTGTTAAGGTCTTTTAAGATGGTTGTTCAAGTTCCCCATCTCAATTTAATTCTGTTTTTTACTAAGGAACATAATAGATTTCAGGTGGTATTTGTCCTGAGTTTGTTAGGGTGAGACATTTTCGTTGCTGTTTGCGTCATGTCAGTGTTATCTCAAGTTGCCAGTTTGCTGAGGTTAGAACTGTTCTGTCTTTGCAGACAGAAGTCTTGGAGCTGTTGTGGTATTAATTCCCCAAGCAAACTCAGTATAATATTTCTCATTTTAAGTACAGAAGACATGTCTTGAAAAGAAAAAGACCCAATCCATACAGTGTTTAGTACTTGCAGCATCTGCTAAATGGTTGTATGGCTGTCAGTTCTTAAACTCTGCATGGTGATTGTGGCTAACATTGGATCACTATTTACTTCTGTTACCATTTTTTTTCCAGACTCCTGTGCTTAGGAGATAGTAAGATGTTGCTGTCTTAGAAATGTTATATAAAAAGCAGTATTAAAAAAATGTTATGTTTCATCAGTGAAAAAAAATGATACATACAAAATTAATTCAATTGTTTTTCAGCAGGTATGTGAATACTGGTGGCTCTTTCTTTGCTTCTGGTTTGTTCCATTGTGTTTTTTAAATAAAATTCTTAATTAAATTTGAGATTAATGATTTCTTACTAGTATACTGAGGTTTGTACTGAATTACAGAGGGTTATTATATGAATCCTACCTTTTGAATTTTGTGTGCATCCCTCCTTATTTATTAAAAAATATTACTATTAAAAAGTTGCTTTCTTCTTGTAACATTTTATCTTTCCAAAATTACAGCTGTTTCTTTGAAAACCTGATAGAGGTGGGAAGGTTATGTTGCTTTAGCAGGAATCTGCTGACACTGGGATCTGTTCCCTAGCAGCTTGAGGTTTCTTCCAGCATTGGTCAAATCACACACAGCTATGGATGTCTCAGTTGTGACATGTTTGTGCCAGAGGGAAGCCACTCAGCCTTCGTGCAGCGTTGCTGTGGCAGAATGCTATATATATGAATTTTTAGGGGCAACATATTTAGAAACTTGACCAAAAGTATTTTAAAAAGGACAATTAATACTTTGAAGGGGTGCTGCTATCAAGTTCTGGTTTTGTGTTTAGCGGTGCTAAGTAGATCCTTGTGCAGTGATCACCTTTCACTATTGCCTTACAAGAGTCCAAGTTAAAGAATTTTTCCTGTTGCAGAATATGGCTTTAGGAGAACTCTTTTAGTGAGCTATCCAGCTATTGAGGCCTTTGTTTTAGTGTTAGAATAACTTAATTTGTATTCCTTGATACTTGGAGACAATTCAGGGGCAAGGAACACTTAGAGGTATGGCATGGAACTATATGATGCTACTCTGCCTGCTTCTGCTTCACTGCTGTCTGAGATGGTTACAATTTTCCAAAGAAAGGGAGCTGTAACAGCAGTCAAGCATTTAGGCTGTAGCCTTTATTTTAAAGTAATTATTGTCTTCGTAAAAAGAATAATAGAATTCTGTCTCACTACTCTATTTCTTAGACAAATAATGACATAAAAAGAGCTATAGGGTTTTATTACCTCCATGAAAGTATCCATTTCACCATAATACCTGGTGAAACCTATTTGAAATGGAAATAATTTCACTTCTTGATTTTGTTATGCTCTGGGTATTTTAGCGAAATTGTTTAATTGTAACCTGCAGAATTGTTGTTTGCCACAGTCTTGTCCAGGCTTTCCCCTTCTGCACCTCCTCACCTGTTTTTTGTTTTCATGGTCAAAGAGACTGCAGACTTCTGAGCAGAAACTCATGCTTGCACTGAAAGATTTTTGTCCTGTATTACCCAGTAATTATCAGTGTAGTATCACACTGAAAGGTCATTATGGTGCTTAACAGATTTTAATGGCCAAGTGTTAGAAATAGAACGGTTTTCCTGTCAAATTGTGGGTGATTTTGTACCGTGGATCCAGTAGACTTCAGGGAAAAAACACGTGTACAGGAATAAGGCATATTTTTTTCAGTATTGTAAAGTATTCTGGGATATACAGGTAGAATTTGCAGTTGTAATGCAAACTGAAAAAATCCAGTTTTTAAAATTAAGAGAAAAGCATAGGGAGTTGTATACATCTTTCCACTGATGGTGGTTTACACATACAAGCAGTGTTTATTTGGAGTTGCTTCCAGTAAAACAGTAGTTGCATAAACACAGAAAATCTCTTCAATCTACTAATATTAAAAAGTGCTAATTCTATTAATACTTAAAGTATGCAATTCAACTTTTAGAGAAGTTAGGTTTCCAAATACTGTTGTTGCAGTCTCCTGGTGTTTCTGTTTCTGTATTGGAGAAAGTGACTCTTGGTTATTTTTGTGCCTAGGTACTTCATTGTCGCAGTGTGAATCAAGTGATTCAAGTTCTATAGCAATAAGTAAGTGTAAATACTTGGATATGCCTACAGCCAAACACAGGGAAAAGGTAATGTCATTGTACTTTTTCCCATGAACTAAAGCTGAAAATAATGTTTTGTTGTGGCTTTGGGGTGTGTTTTTGTTCATTTGTTTCTGTTGTTGGTTTTTAAGAGGAAATTCTGTTCCTGCTTTAAACACTGTACAAAATTATCAGATTTTTTACAAAACAATTGCGTAAAATTTCTTAAGAGGAAAAGCGTTGGTGTTACACTTTCTGCTTATAGTATTCATGTAAAATATGTACATGAGTGTGTGCCCATATTCTTTTCTGTGATCTTCTAATGCACTTTAGGATTGCATTTATCTCCAGATGCCTACAAGATGATAGAAAAGATGGCACAGTGTTTTGCAGAGCCTTGCTTTATGGCTTGGAAGCTGTTGATATTTGAAATCTGAAACCTGTTTTGTTTTGTAGACTTACGAGTTTTCTTGAAAAATTGTTTCAGATAGTGTCTCTGATACAAAACAATTCAGTTGTGATTGTAGAAGGAGCTACTGGCAGTGGAAAGAGCACACAGATTCCACAATATATTTTGGATTATTGCATGAACCAGTCTGTGCCCTGCAACATTGCTGTTACCCAGCCTCGGAAAATCGGTGCCAGCAGCCTTGCTAGGTGGATTAGCAAGCAACGCTCATGGACACTAGGTGGATTTGTAGGATACCAGGTATGAGAAAACTTCAAACTGTATTTTAAAATGTATTAAAAAGTACTATGTGTTCGTTCTTGATTACTTTTAAGCATACCTAGCATACTGAAGAAACGTTAGAAAATCTTCTTTTAAAGTGGAATTGCTATTTTTTATCTGTCTCCTGCTAAATGTTTGTAATTAAATCAACTTGTAAATTTGAACAACTATGAATCCTAGTGGGACTCCTACAGAAAATATTACTCTGCATCAGATATGTCTACATTATTAATCACTGAAATTTTTGCAGGAGAACTATGTTCTGTCATTTTTTTCTTTAAATTCCATAAGTAACTTATTTTATCTGTTTTGCTTTACTACATTTACTTGTCAGCTCTGTCAAACCTTTAACACATTTATGACCAGGTTCTTTTGTGAACAATCTCGTGTTCCTTTTTAAAATGGGAAAAACTCAAACTACTTTTTCCTCTTAAATCTGTCTCCTCCTTTTGCTTTGTTCAGCTCATCTGCAAGCTCAGTTCTGTCCCTCTGTTAATGAACTAGATGCCACATTTCTTTTTCGACACAGGTCCTAGTACTTTTATGAGCTCCTTGTGTGTACCCACACTAAGCTGCTGTGATATTGGTTTCATTGTGGGTTAGGTCACAGCTATTTCTGGATGAGCTGCTCTGGTTCTTCAGGCCAGTGTTTTCACAATGCTATTGACAATGAGAGGGATGTTCACAGAGAATTGTCTGCTTCTGGAGTCCTTTGCTAGGAGGAATATTTACTGGGTTCTTCTTCCTCTCTGCTTCATTTTATTTCTTGTTCTTTCTTCCTTTCTTTCTTCCACTTAGGGTAATATGTATATGTTTGCTAGAATGCATTTAGAGGTTTCTGTTTCTTCATAGGTCTGCAGCTTCAGGTTACTTCCTAATATATTACATGTGGTGCTGTTTATGTGTGTTAGGTGTTCTTTGTTACCCTTAAATCTGGTTCTGTAAAGTTTTCAGGTCTGGAAGAGTTTGATTTTTGACTCAGAGTAACAGAGTTGTTCATAGCATGGGCTCTTACATGTCAGTCTAATGCTTCATCTGTTACCCACATCTGCTTTCCTTTGTGCCACATCATAAACATGACAGCAATAACTAAAACACCAGTGTTACCAACATTATTCTCATACTAAATCCCAAAACCACAGCACTGTACCAGCTACTAAGAAGAAATGCACTCTGTCCCACCCAAAACCAAAACAGTTGCGTATGTTGTTTGTTTCAAAGTAGGTTATGTATAAAGCCTTTGTTGCTGTTTTTGATACCTTGAATTAATTAGTCATAAAGTTGCTGAATTGATTCATTAGGCTAGTGAGTCTCAAAGACTTAAAATGATACTGCACTTCCAGACTGTCTTCAGGACAGTAGATGTGGATATGCTGTGCTTGTTTCACCAGCACCTGTGTGAGCTGAGTAGAAACAGAGGGTAATGATGGAGAGCAGATGTGTCTGCTCTAGGCTGATGGAAAGCTGCACATGAAAAGATGGTCACAGCTCTGCCTGCCTGGGTGGGTTACACCTGAGATAGCTAAAGTTACCACAAGTGTGTTAGAAATCAAAAATCTGTTCGTATGGGGTTGTAGAACTTTTCTCTCAGGAGTAAGTTGCCTGGTCTTGGTGATAACTTGAACATCTTTCCTTTTCCTGTCCTATATGCAAACCACATTTTGGCAAAATCTTTTTCTTGCTCTCTATATCAGTGGAAAGAGTGATGTGTATGTACCTTTAGAAGTCTGAAGAATTCCCAGTTTAAAGTCACAGCAAGGAATTTGCATTTTACATATTTTTGAAATTTCTCCCAAAGTAAAACCAGTTAATTGGTTCTGGTAAGAACACTCCAGTATGGAGACTTGTGCAAGTTTGAGTAAATAATTTTGATGGGTTTACACTGTGTTTGATTTTGGAGTTCTTTCACATGCATGCTTCTTGTAACTACAATCAATCTGTTTTCAGCTAGTATGTCCATTTCTTACTGTTGTTAGTTGAGTTTAGAGAATGTTTGGACAAAGGAGACGAGGTTGCTGTATATGACAACAGGAGTTCTTCTTCAGAAAATAGTTTCTGCCAAGAGCCTAACTCAGTTCACGCACATTTTCATTGATGAAGTAAGTTGCTGGAAGTAAGTTTAATTTTCATATTAATAAAGACTTCTCTTTTGTCTCTTACCACACAAGAAAGGAGAAATGCAGACATCTACTTTTAAAGATGTTTTATATAAGTTATCTAAGGTAACACTTGCTGAAATAGGCTTGTCAGCATTCCTTTGAGCAACAGGTTTAGAACTGAGGGTGTGGGGAGTGCTTTTGGGAGTCCTTAACTTTTAATAGTAGAGGTACCTTGAAATGTTTTTTGGAATCCATCTTGTGGAATTCAAGAACCTGTCCATCTAGGTGTGTCATGGGGAGGCAGCTACTTTTCACTCACTTGAATATTACAAAAACTTTATTCTGCAGGGATGTCCTGAAAAATATCTCTGTGAAAGATCTGTCTCCTGGTTGTGGGTACAGTTCGTTCATGTGGATTCATTATTGCTGCCGTCACTTCACTAAAAAGCTAAAGCAAATACACTTGTAATTTGTGTATTTTTACATGTGTATATGCTTCTTTTATGTGGAAAGCGATATTTGACTTTCAATCAATAGTTAGATGTGAAATTGTGCTGTCACAAACCATGGATATAAATCACATGTAGGATGTATGATATCTTGGGATGTAGTGATACAGAAGAGGATGTAGGGGTTTGGGGGTTTTTTTGGAGAGTGGCTGGTTGGTTTGGGGGGATTTTTTGTGTTTTGTTTTAGCATGTATTTTTTTTCTAAGTGCCATTTTTGATTTTTATCCTGTTACTGGTATTGTAGCTGAAAGCTACTTGAATTCTTGGATATTTGAGGATCGGGGAGACAGTACTTAGTGTTCCATTAGACTATTACAGTAACAAGGCTGTCATGACTTCACTTGAAATGGTACAGTGCAAACCTGGAAAAGATTAAGCAGGTAGTTACATTTTTTGTATGAAGAAAATTTAATACTTCATTCAAACAGAAAAAGAACAAAAACCCCCCCAAAGGCTAAGGAATTGTATCAGTGGCCTTCATGGAAAAGATTTGAGCACTCCAGTGTATTAGCAGAGTGTTGGAAGCCTTAACATTTCTTTTAATAAGGAAATGCAGGTGAAATGTAGGTAGAAAAGCTGAATCATATAAGGTGCATACACAGAAAAGTGTTATTGTTCAATTAGTTTTAAGATTTATTCATTACATATGAAAATGAATGAGTGAAGTTTTCTGGCCCCATACATAGGAGAATGGGTTTATGCAGAGGTTTTTCAAACTGTTTCTTGGGTGCTGTAATTTGAACTGTTACTAGCTTGTACCACTTCTTTGAGCAGCACCTATCTGTGTGTTTCACTTCTCCAGCCAGGATTCTGGTCCCTCCTGTTTCCCATATGCCATCTTTTCCCCTATACCTACTACAGAGATTGTGATCTTGAGCCCAGAATCACTGTTTTTAACAACTGAATATTCTCCATAACATTTTTAATTGCATCTTTGCATCTTTCAATTGAATCTCATCGTTCTCAGAGTACTGCAGACATTTAGGAGCACCCTTAAACAAAGTAGGACCAAAAATCTTGACTTCTCCCCGCAAGACTTCACTGTCAGCCTAAAACTACCTTGGCTAAATTTATTTTTGTAGTGGGACAGCATTGAATATATGTCTTATCTTTATATTATATTAGAATATGCTAATTAGCTTCCAGGACATGAATGTTGACTTGTGAAGGCTAAACTCCAGAAAAACCTGCTGCACTTAAAATATTTAAACTGTAATTCAAGAAAGGGATATGGTCATCATGGATAGTAATGGAAAGAAGTATTTGCTGATCTATAAGGAGCAGGCAGAAGGCTCAGGTGCTAGGATATATAAAGAATTGGGTGTAAACTTACGTTTTAGAAAGCAGTTGTGTATTTGGATTGTAGGTGGAAGCCATTGGGAGTGATGCACATCTATTCAATTTGTTTATTTTTCAGACAAACCAAAACAGTCCCTGGATCTTTTGGGATCTTACCAGTACAGTTGATTTATCAGCATCAGTATTATAGACTTCATCTGTTACTGTCAACTCTAGTACAACTGGTAGTTAGAGCTCGAGATTGATTTTTCTAGTCATTATTCTAGATTTGCTTAACTTTAGAGTAACATGATTTTCACAAAGGGTTTTGTAGTCATCTGAAGACTCTTGTTGGGTTTTTAAAGTGTTCTTAACATGCCTAGGCTCAAAAGCTTCCTTCTATGAAAATATATTATTTCAAGTTACAAAAATAAAGCATGAAATTGAATGGGAAAGTAAGAGGCTGTCAAAAAGAAGAGGATAGATTAATGAAAATTAAATAGTGGATAATGTCTTCTAGGTGCACGAACGTACAGAAGAAATTGATTTCTTGCTCTTGGTGACCCGTAAACTGTTGTGTACAAATTCACAGTCTGTAAAGGTAGGTTCAAACTGAATTCTGCTGTTTTTTCTTGCAAGAAAACGTTTGCATGTCTTTCATCTGTGAAGGCCCTATTTTAAAGAATTGACCATGAATTACTATGTTACTGCTTTTTATTAAATATTACTTAGTTTGCCACTCCTCATAAGTAAGCAAGCTAAGGGGCATTCTTTTCCTGGCTGCTGTAATGTGTTCTGAGAGACTTCTTTTTTTTTCCCCTCACGTTAAAATGCATTATTTTCTAAAGCCTGCTTAAGGCTAAAGAATGCACGATGGATATTTGACTAGAATTACGTCTTGGGTATTGAGGGCAGTGCTCATCCTTGGTTAAAATGGTAGCATTAACTCCTGGAAATACTGAGCCTTTTTGTTTAAGTGGGACGACGTATTTGAAGAAAATAGCAAAAGACCAGAACTGCTGTACTGTAATTTCTGGGCAGAACTGGTAGTAAAATGTGGCTGAGGTTTTTCTCTGCACGTTAGGCAATTCTGCTTTGTACTGAAGCAGGATTCACAGACATTTAGCATGACATGTTTAGTCTTTGGGGTCAAAGTAATGAACTCTTGAAATGTTAGAAATTAAATACAGGTGATGGAGTTAAGCTAACAGTATCTTTCAGTGCAGCTATTTGGGACTGCAGATACTTTGTGAGACTGCATGTCTTCTCAGTGCTTCAAGTTAATGGTTTAATGTGAATTTTTCTGTTCAAAATAGAGTCTAGGTTGGCTGTTTGTGTTGCCATTGGAAGGGAATATGTGTTCTTATATGCAGTGCATTACATTGATACGAACTTGGTCTTCAGGTCTCCCAAACATGCTGTCACTGAAAGTGCCTTTTCAGTTGGCGTAGGATATGTCTGTGTGCTTCCTATCTTTCACTTTTTATTCCTTTTCATGCTGATCTAGATTTTAAAGAGAACTCTTGTCTTTAAATTCAGACACAGTTATGTGAAACTATTCAGCCTTTTTTAGCACTTGGCTCTGCGTATTGAGGAGAGCAACAATTTGATCAAACAGAGTTTGTGAGAAGTTTGCCCTTTATTCTGATTGTTGGGTTGGTTTCAGTGGCAGGAATCCCTACAGGCCCTATCATCTTTTCTGTTAGAGGTTTCTGACAAATTTTTCATTTTCCCCTGTAGTTCCATTTCAGTCTCTTGAAATTGTCACGGAAAAATGTTATCCCCTTTATATCATTCTCTGGAATTGTTTCTGCAGATGAGAGTTTTTTAATATTGTACAAACCTGAGAGAGACCTTTATTTGAGAAAGTGGAGGGATGAATTGAATTTTTTTATGTTGAAGAAGGGGGAACTCTTGATCTCACTTATTGGCCTTGAGCAGAGTGGAATGGGCTATTCAGTTTGAATTTATATACAAAGCCCAGTGTCTCCTACTTAATCTCTTTTCAGTCCCTTCTGAAATACTGTAAAGGAAGGGAGCTTTGATGTAGCAAATTCATTTAGAAAATGCAAGATTCTTCTCCCATCCTCCCTGCATGCATTCAAAAGGGTGCAAAGATCCCTATTTAAGAGAGGAAACAAAGCATTTTTAACTAGAGTGGCATGAAGTACACGTGAGATGTTTGTTTCCTAGTTTGGATGTTGGAGACCTCAGAGTAGCAGGTAATTTAACATTGCATCAACTGACAGGAGTTAGTTGAAAGATTCTGATGTTTATTCTGAGGACAAGATCTACCTGCTGAACTATTTAACTGTTAGATTGTGCTGAATTTTCTGGCAGATGGCTGCTGCAGATTATTTTTAGATCGCAGAGCAGATACTGGATTGTTGTGAGGTTGACCTTGCTGGGATTGGGTTGTTCAAAGAAAACCTTGAGACTGAGAATGGCTCTTTTGGATCAAACCAAGCAGTGCAGTTTCCATAGTGACTAGGAACAGTTCTGGGTATCATCTAGTGCATCTTTGGACATACCCATGTAGTACAAGTGGTTTTGGACTGCTTGATCTTGAACTGTCTTCTTTGATTACCCTCTGTTTTGACGTGTTCATCTGCTATGTTGGTGATATGTGCTGGTTGAATTTTTGCTTTAAGAGTGCATTAAACTCCTGGTTCAGTTATGTGACACTTCAGGCACTCTGTTAAGAATCTGTCATTTTTTTCCACTTTGGAAGGATTCCACACAGATTAGAGTCCAGATTACAAAGATTGTCTAGGAGAAGGGGTCGTTAATATTCCTTGCCTGTAACTTCAGATTGGATTTTGTTTCCATAGCCTTTAGAGAAGGTTGCATTTAGCCTATTGCCCTGGCACAGGTGAGTCATTATCTTTTGAGCCATGAGGCAGTCCATGCTGGAGTGGGACTGATTTCATATATTTGCAGAATTATGTCCTTTCAAATTTCTCCTTTCAGGATCATGTTGGAAAACTTCATGGTTTCACCTGCCCTCTCCATGTGTTCCTTGTGCCTTCACATGGAAAGCTTCAGCTTTGGAGCTGAGCACAGTGGTACAATGCCCCCTTCATTAGTTTGCCTTCCTGTTGTTTTGTAAAGGGGATGCTTTTGTGTTTTGCAGCATTACTGCTTTGGGTGGTGAGATACCAAGAGTACTGTATGTTTTTGGTTGAATTTCCACTGTGCTTTCTGCCCTAGGCATTCTAGCCAGAGCTATTCTCTTACAGAGCCTCTCTGCACGTGCTGGTTAAGGTATCTTAAGCATTTAGCTTGATTGTCTGAAATGTACTTAGGTTACATACCTGTAGTAACCAGAATTAGATCATTTAACATGAAGAGGAAGTGGAGAGTCCCACGTAGCAGGACAATTTTTTAAAATTAATGCTTTACATTTGCTGTACATGTTTTTTAACAGATAATACTGATGTCTGCTTCCATCAACTCCAAAGAATTAGCTGATTACTTTGCGCTTCCAGTTCATAATGGCTTGAATCCAGTCTGTGTATTTAAAGTTGAAGGCAGACCTTTTGCAGTTGAAGAATATTATCTTGATGATTTGAAGGACATTTTTGATTTCCAGGTATTGTAAATATAATTTCATTTTTTGTACTTAATAAGAAATTGAAATAGTCAGTTGAAAACTGTGTAATAGAATGGCATATAGCCACTTTTATATTGCAGTTCTAGGTAAGAATTAATAGATAATGATAAATCAGGAGTCTTTGTATGAGCAGACTAGTTTCGGTCATGAAACAGAAATGTTTCAGTGGTATGAGGCATTTTGTTTGATAGTTGCATTCAAGATGAACAATGTAAAATTGAGTGTGGAAAGTAACATAAATAGATTTAAAGATCTCTTTGAATATAGCTGACAAAATCAGGGAATATTTTGTGGGTTGGTTCATGTTGTTATGTATCAAAGGCAGAAAGTGCTACAATATGAAGAGAAAACAAGCATTTTTGATTAGAACTTTGATTTTACCAAGTTGGCTTCTCTATCAGCTGGGGTTTTCTTGTTTTGCTTTCCTGTTTCCTTTTTAAAATAGTGCCAGAAATGTTATGCAATGGTTTTGAGCCTATTTCTGTTGTATCCGTGTAGGCCACCATAGTAAATGTGATGGCAAATGTAAAATTGTGAGTACTGAGAACATGTTAGAATTACAGATACCTCTCAGATCCCTGGTGGGCTGTGCTGGAGAGCTGCTTCTCTGATGCCTAAGGAGGGAAGGTGCTGGCTGAAGATACCTTTGCTTTATCAATCTAGTTTATAAGCTGCATGGAATGTATTTTGTATATTTTGTTTTTAGACCTCCTGACATTATAGTAAGTATCTCTGTAGACATCAGGTAATGAAGGAATGAATGTAAATATTGATTTAATTGAGTTAATCTGTTTTCTGTGGTTTTATAATAGGAGTTTGTTTTGCATTTGAAAAACAGCTGTGTAGGAATTCACTTGAGTGAACTCTTTCAGTATTATGGTTCAAGGCAAAAAAAACAGGTTAAAGCAGAGTATAACAAATGCACTTAGGCCTATATTATGATACCCAGTCTAAAAATAACTGGGACATGGATGTAGTTATTGGTCAGTTTTGATAATTCAAAACACTATTAAAATGTTATTACAATGAAGAAGATGGGGGATGCACTTAAAAAATAGCAGTGGGGAACACACTGTTATTATTTAGCTTTCATCCATCAATTCTGCAGAAAATAACACAATAAAATAGGAAGCCCAGAAGAAAATAATTGCTTATGCAATTATGCATAGTAATAGTACACAGCTCAGACATTGGTTATGCCTCAACACAGACAAGGTAAAATGAAAGGCTGTCAACCATTGAAGTTCCAGTGCAAACAAAAAAAATAATGCTTATTGCAGTTGGCCCATCAGTATTTATACATTAGTATGGCAGCTCAGACAGATAATATGGAGGAGATTATGTAATAGATGGGGCTTTGTAAAACATTTTTGATGATGACAACAAAAAGATAACCAGGAAATTGAGTAAGAAGTCTACTTCAGTCACATTGGATTTGTCATGGCTGTACTTGGGAGCTGAATGTCAAGTTGCACACCTTTCACCTCAGAGATCACAAACAAAGGAGCTGCTTTCAGTGCTTAGCCCTTTTTAAACTTTATTTTCTCTGTGTTTTTTATTTAATGTTTTCATCCGATTCTTTATCTTGTGTTGTCCTACCTATAGCCATTCTTTTTTTCAGCAAGATGGGGAGGGTATGTTTGTCCAAGAAGCACATAAATGCTCTTTGATTTTCTTTTCTCTATATCTGTATTTAAAAAGGATGAAATTGAATTCTGAAGCACTGATTTTTGGTCTTCATCTTGTTCCTTATGTTGCTGTGTGTGAAGATTTTCTTAGAATACTAGTTGCAATTAAATATTAAAATGTGGAAGATCTAAGATGGTTTGTGTAACATCCTAATAGAATTAAAATGGAATGTATTAAGATAGTTAATGAGTTAACGCTGCCATATGGAGGCTGAGGCACATCTTTCATTATGCTCAAATCTTAATCAGTTAGATAACTGCCTGAGGTACAGGCTTCAGGCTTTAATTCTTGATGTTTTATTTTCACCTATAAAAGCCTGTAAAATTTACACAAAGGGACACAGCAATTAAAAGTAAATGCAGTCGTTGCTCTTTAGGTAAACAGAATTTTTCTAAGTTTACTTCGGCTTTTAAAATTAATAACTGTAGAACTACATTACATAAATCTCAATGATTTCTTAAAGCATCTCAGTCAAAATCAGTCTAGTCCTTTGTCTCTCGGATATGAGGTGTGAATCTTTGTCCGTTTTCAAAAAATCTTAAAATAATTGGATGTTACTGTATAAATGTAGAATTCTTTTGTGAATCCTGCAGAGTTGTTGGCTTTAATATATCACTCATTTCTGCATGTGATAATGTTTTAAAACTGTGCTTGAAAATAAAATTTTTAGGGGTGGTTTTGACTTGAATAATTTGTCAGTTCATTGATGTTGTTGTGATTTGGAAGATGAATAAAAGTGCCAGTCATTATTTTTTCTTCTCTTTGACTGTTTGTAGTAAACCCTCTGCTGTGGCTAGACAGACATCTAGCTGAATCAAAGATAAAACTTTCTACTTGAATTACTTCATTTGTAGGAAAGAATAAAAATAAGGGAGAAAAAAGGGAGAAACATGTTTCAATGTAGCACTGGCTTACCGTTGCCCAAATACTGGGTCATTTATAGGTGTACTGCTTAATTTGTGAGCATAGGTTTACAAAAAGTAGTTTATTTTTCTTTTGGCATAATGGGCTTGGTAAACACATTGTCTGGATGTTTAACCAAATCATGATTTTGTTGTACCAGCAACCTCTAAGGCCCAAGGAATCACTGAAACACAGGTTTCATGAAAAATGAGAGGCTCTGTCAATTTTAAAGCTAGTTGTGTAAATTCTTGCCTTTTGTTCTGGATAGTTTTAGTGATATGAAATGCAAATTTAAACAATGAGGTAAAGTCCAAAAATGTGACCCATTTTCTGCTTGCAAAGGTAAAAACTTTGTGTTCATGGAACTAGAGTCAGAGTCCTGATGGAAGGTAGTGAGCTGCTGTCAAAAGCTGTTCTGATTATGTTGTATTATTTCAGTCAGGTCTGACTGGGGTTTGGATTTGCTGTTTGTCACATTGTTACCTTTTATTAGGAGTGATGTGGAAGCCTTGTCCTGTTAAAGAATACTAAACGTACAATCTATAGCAAAATTGAAAAGACAAATTTGACAGTTCTTTAAGCAGGGATAATATAAACCAAAAAAATCTTACATTTGAGCAGCCCAGAAGAGATAACTTGCTTAGATTTTTTTCACATATATTGGGGCAAAAATCACTTTGAAGAAAACAGTCAAGTATTTTTAATGTTTCTCATGGTCTAATCAAGCTGAGAACTGGGATTGCAGTAGGAAATGCTAATCTAAATCAGTGTTTTCAGATTGGTGCTAGGAGCTATGCTTTTGTGATTGTTACGAGCTTCTTTACAATGGGAAATTGGTAGAAAAATCACTAATTTCATTTTAACAGTTTATATAGTTGTCTGTGATTTTAACTCTCTGAAACACTTGGTTCAGTAAAGAGTTTGCTCTAGAGTGAAGAGAAACTCAGAATGAAAAGTGAGCGGTGATCAAAAGCCAGTTTCCCTAGAAGAGAAAAATGTGTAATGCTTTAGACCTTTTTCTAAGCAGGTTTAGTTCATTAAGCATAAAACTGAAAGGAGATTAAGTTACTGTCTTTGCTCTCAAGACTTGATGGTTTGTGTTCTTAAATACTAAAGCCTTGAGTTTGAACAGGGTGCTGGAAAACAGTGTAGACAGAAACACTGTGGTTCTGTTGAGTACAGCAGAACAGTAATTGTTTTACAGGATGTGACCAAAACCACAAAACCTATTAAATGCAAAAGCATTAATCATAAAAAGAGAGGTACGTGGTTTATGTGCCGGCAGGTAGAGAGAGATGTGTGTAATAGCAGCTGTGAGAAGCACTCTACCTTCCTTACACAAATTCCTCCTTGTCATCCTGTGCCCATGGGATCTGATCAGTCCCATGTGCTTGACACTTCAGGATAAGGATCATGTCCTGCAAATGAATGGAGGCCCTGGTGCGTAGGTAGATAAATACCAGAAGTATTTCTTCAGCATTAAAATAGTAGGATGCTTGAAGAAAAATGTCTGTTTAGAAGGTCATGAATGCATCAGATGAAGTTGCTTCTTCTGCACTGGATCAGTTTTAATTGAAAGCACTTGACAAATTGAAATACGTATGTGAACTACAGTCTTTTAGCCATTATACTGTGTTAACCTCATTACCTTCTCCAAACAGCTTCATCCTCAGAGCATTGGGGAACCAAGGATAGAAAAGAAAATGTATCAAGTGGCAGTATCTCTGATTCAGTCATTTGATGAGTTGGAAAAGAGGAGCTATAGGTAAGACACAGTTCAAGATATGGAACCAGTGGCTCTTGGGGAAATGAGAAGCTAATTAAGCAACAACAGCAGTCCATAGTTATTAGTGGAAACTTTATTTTTACTTGCCTCTCTGCCTTAATTTTACATATTTGTTGGATTTGTACCCAGTGTTCCTAAGGTGCACTTCATGCCCTGGAGCGTGAGTGACTGTTCAAGGCAGCCATGTCATATTGAAAATAATTCTTCGCTGTAGACTAGAGCTGAGGGGTATTTATATCAAGAATGAAACCAGAACTACTATTTTATATTGTAATCTAAAACATATATTATTTCATGGAAAAAAAGGACAAAAACTAGGCATTCATTTCCATTGGCTGTTTAATGCCTTAGTGTCATGTGAATAAGTAAATAACTGGATTTTGCTGCTTTGTGTTCTGTAAATTGATGTTTAGTGTCTGAAAATGTAATAAAGTCGCTTCTACAACTTTGTCTAACTCTGAGTGTGTATTAACCAAATTCTGATTATTTTCATTGCGGAATGAGAATGTTTCTGTTTTGTCAGAGTTCTGAAGAAAAAAACTGAAGCTAATGCTCTGGTTTCAGTGTTCATATATTGTGTTTTTCAGAAAGTGTAGTTGTAAATAATGGTTGATATTTCATTTCTTCAGGAAGTTTAAATAATGCATGTTACAAAAAGTGTGCGCTTCTGCTTGTTCTTCCAGAATAAAATAACTTGGGGTAATGAAGTAGACTAAGACTGTAAAACTAAGGAAACTGTGTTTTCTTGTTAGGGAGAAAAAGAACTTGAGTGGTACATTGGAACGTGGCAGTGTGCTTGTGTTTTTACCAGGTGAGTATATGTCTTAATAACTTTCTTTTTGTTATTTGACATCTAATGAGCTTTCGTCTGGCACTTCTTCCAGGGATTTATTAAAGACATACTTAAATGAGGTTCATTGGTCTCTTTGGGTATTTTTTTCTTGGAAACTTGTTTAATTGTGGCAATAATTGGAAAGGCTGTGAGTCAAAAATTAAGATGTTATGTATTTTAAAAATAATAAAATTAATTTTTTAGTTAATCTACAGAAATGCAGTTGCTCAATTTTTTAGTGCAATTATTAATTATTGTATGAAGCTCCTAGGATTCTTTTAGAGATGTTTCCTTATCTGCAAATGATGAGGTCTTCATTTAAATTGTTGTAAAATGTCAAACTCACGTTTTTTTTCCACGTGCATTGGTTGGTGTAGTTAGCATGCTCAAAAGCACAGATGATGACACAGTGATTATTGATCAGAAAACTGGCTATAAATGAAGTCTTTTGTGAAGAATAAAACCTAAGCTGTCTTGCACAGAAATTATTGTAGGTTTTTTTTTTGACTGTCATTCTTAATTTAATCGTTAATTTAATAATCGTTAGCTGGATTTTAGAGCCAGTGTAACTAGCCTGCAGAGTAATTCTCCTGAACGTCATAGTCTGTTACCTAGTGGTTTCAAGTATTCTTTTATTAAATGAGTGAGTATCTGTTAGTTGAAAACTTTGAAAAGATTTGGTTATGTTCAAGTGGAGAGTCAGCTTGAAGTCCAGAGCAGCTGTTCCTTGGACACAGTGAAGTCAGTCCCTACCAGGGCTTCCTAACTCTGTAAAATGTTTATGAATGTCATCTCCCTGCTGTGTTGAGCTGAGGAAGAGACATGCCAGGGCTAGGGCTGGAAGCCCAGCATACCAGTTCAAAGATACACTGCACTTGCAGAGCAGCTTTCCTTGGAGAGTGTTCCCCACTAGCTAAAAGGCATTAGAGCTGCCTTAGCTATAAAATTAGGAATTTTATTTATATTAGGAATTACCTTTGCTATAAAATTAGTGGGTAGAAAGAATTACTTCATTGTGTTAATGTAAGGCCCATTCCAGTTTGTGAGTGATGAGGTTGGGAGACCATATCTGTTGCCTCTGGCCTCTGATACTGCTGTTTGTCTGGTGTGTTTTCAGACTAACTCAGCCCCTCTGAGGCTTCATTTCAGTCTGAAACTACTTCTTAGCACTTTCAAATCCTAAATATTTATCTTTCACCTTGCGATTTTTTGTTTTGTTTTGTTTTTTAACTGTGCTGCTATCCCTGATGACTTATAACTGCAAGTAATATACTGATTTGTTTGTTTGTTTGTTTGTTTTAAATACATTTGGTAAATCTGTGGAAACCTGTGCAGTAACGCTTTCTAAATGAGCTGGTACACTTAAGTTTGTGTTTTATTTTTTCAGTGATTGACGTTGTCTGGTTTTAAACTGGATACTCAAGACTGATCCTGAACACCTGATTAGCAAACACCCCTTGAAATTTTCCTCACAAATGTTTTTATACAGAACTGGAGAAAAGTTGAGGCGAGCCATCAGTTTACAAGACTGCAGCTGAGACAGAGCTTTGGGTTATTTTTACCCATTTAACCATCCACATTTAGGATGTTGATTTGAGATGCTTAGATATTTTGAGTGCTAACGATTACATAGCATTTTGAACATCGAAAATAACACTCCCACTGACTTGTCAAGTTGAGTGTGCAGCAGCAGCATCCGGAAAGAGCAGTGCTGTAATGAGGATGCTGTTAAGTGATTTTTGCCCACTGTCTTTGTGGAACTCAGTGATGGGGCAGAATGTATTTCCGAAAGGAGCTGCAGCTGTCTCAAGTAGGATGTAATGTTTTACTTTGTAATTGTAATTACAGGGTTTTTTTTTTGTAATCTCGTTCACGGCTTAATTTTTTGATAATGCTACCAAGTCTGATTCTTTATAGATAAGTGTTCTTCAGTTCAGCTCTCCTTTGGTTCCAGAACTTGTCTTTCTTGTAGGTAACAGGTGATACAAAGTGCCATGTTAAACTGTAGAGTCATTTTCTTAACATACGTGCATGAGTACGTTCCCAGTGATCTAATTGTATCTGTTATACTCGTGTTGATCTCATTTTTTGTCTGTTCCATATTTTCTTTTGCACTTCCCTGTGGCCTGCTGTCTTTACTGTCCTTGTATGCTTGCCAAACAGGTTGTGTTACTAGTTCCCTTTTCATTCTGAGACCTTTGTCTCCTGGTGGGATCCTTATGTTCCATAGGTATCATGGTCAATCATCTCTTGTCATTTCTGAAACTGGTCAGCAGATACTGCCTGCTGTGTCTAGTCAGTAATTACTAGACTGATTAATAGTTACCATTAACAGTGATGATGCAGAGTCTGCTTTGCCAAACATGAATCAAACTTCTTTTAGTTGTTTCTGATTGTAAAAACAACTTTCAGGGAAGTCCAGTGTTGGACAGATTTTTGAAAATGGAGCTTTTGGAATTGAAGTCTCAATAAGAAGTAAACTAAGCTCCTCAGAAAGGTTTATGTCTGTGGAGATATTCGGGAAGATGATAAAAATCTCTTAGTCATAAGATTTCCCCTGGCAGACGTGAAATGCATGCCCCAGAAAATGGGCCCTGGAATAGCCAAAGGTGAGATGGTTAAGACAGAAATTGCTGGTTTTTTCTTCTCTTGGCCCTCCTCTTTGGAAGAACTTATTTTGGCTGAAATACCCAATTTTAGCCAAATTTAGCCAATTTAGTATGTGGTGAGCATTGTTAGTTGTACATAACTGAAACAAGGGTTATTAATGGGATGTTGTCAAATGGCCTTTATATCTTTATTAAGTGTAAAATTAATGCCAAATCGTTCTTCAAAAGATCAGCTCACTGGTTTGCAGAGACTTATTACATTTGCTGTTTAATTCTTTTGCCATTTTATTATATGGTGAAAAACAGGTAATAATGATAGGCAATTAATAATTGAAATAGATGTTTTTGAATTGTTCCTGATCACTAAAATGAAAAATAAACTCATGATTACTTTTTCCCTAGGTTTAGGTGAAATAAGATACATGCACTCATGCCTCTCAGATAAATATAAAAGGTAAGTTAGACCACATTTTTTTCAGTTCAGTCAAACCTGAGTATGAGTCTTCCAGCTGTATGAGTTTTAGGTGCTTAATAGGGTTTAGCATAGAAGTGTAATCAACTTTAATATTCTGCATCAGTAAATATTTCACTAATATATTTTCTTTAGGTGGCAAGTGTACCCACTTCATGCATGTGCAACATTGGAGGAACAAAGTAAAGTATTTTCAGCTACAGTTCCTGGCTACAGAAAAGTAAATATTTTTAAATCATGACTTTTTTAAAGAATGTGAAACCTTTTGGTAGAGTAGTAATAGCAAATAATAATGTATTTAACTAATATTAGCTGTTCTAACTCAAACCCTTTTATGAGGAAAAAGCACTTCTGTTTGGCCTGTCTTACCAAGCTGTTGTTTTAACTGGTGTTTAGACCTCAAGAGAAGTGCATTAAACTTAAGGAAGTTACCCTTAAACTATTACTGCTGCTGGTTTTATTCTTCAGAATGGTTTGTGCATGTTTAGTCTTGCACCTGCACAAGGTGAGTGCTGCTGGTGGCACTGAACAGCAAAGTAGTCTCCCAGTGTGGGAGACTCTGACCCACTTTGTCCCCCACATTTTTGCTGCTGTCTTGGTTTTCTTCATATGCTATTGCTAAGAGAGTATTGCTGCTGATAGTGTGATGTTTCCTCATGGCAAAGGCACAAAGAAATCTTTTATTCTTCCTCTATAGTGTCCTAATGCTATACTACTTTAGTATGCTTTTTGGAGCTCAGAGCAAGAAAATACAAGGGGGTTTGTATTGTCCTTGTGTGTTATTGCTTTTTTTACTATACAGAGCAGAAATGTTGTGTTGCCGTTGCATTTATATTTCTTCATAACAAGTTGGATTTTTCAAGTAGAAACATTAATGAGAGTAAATTTTTTTGTTGTTTATGCATTCATTGCTCATTTTTTGCTTCAAAACTCAGGTTATTCTAGCTACCAACATTGCTGAGAGCTCTGTAACAGTTCCTGATGTTAAGTATGGTAAGTTGTCTAAATCTTGTAATTCTTTATAGACTGTGTAATATTTTCCATACTTGTGCTAGGTTTGGTCTTAAGGATATGTCAGTGTTCAAAGCAATGCTGTTGGAGTGTTGAATTCTTTCTTTCAAACACAGAAATCTGAATATATGAACAAATAGAGCTACTGAGTGGGAGGTTGGTTTAAATCTTCAAAAAGGGTAATTTTAAATGCAGTAACAAGCAGAGTCCTCATAGGACAAGTTAAGATTTTTAATCACATTCTGCATTCTGACTATGTTTTGAAATAATTGCATCAGTTTAAGCAAATGTTGACACTTGGTTTCTAAATGCAGAAATTATTGCTCTTTTTAATGATTGTTATCTACAATGATTTATTTTATTTATGGTAAAATCTGTTAGCAGTTTGATTAGTATTCAGAATATCTATGGGTCTGGTTGTTTGTAAATCTGATGTTCTTTTTATTGCTATTTAAGATATTCAGACTTTACTTTTCTGATTATTGTGTATTTCTTTCCACTGCCATGAGGATTTTCTTTTTTTCTTGCAGTGATAGATTTCTGCTTAACTAAAATTTTGTTTTACGATAAGGAAACTAACTACCAAAGTTTGAGGCTTTGCTGGGCATCTAAGACAAACTGTAATCAAAGAAGAGGTAAGATGACAATAGGTAATGCAAAGGAATTTTAGAAGCTGACCTTCATGAACAATTCTTTGTTGCTTTTTCTTGTATTAATAGTAAAAAGAACAGGCTATTTTGGCCATTAATACTTGAGAAGTCTTTACCATGTTACGGTATAAAAATGGGATTTAACAACTATGCATGAATGTTTTTTTTTTCTCTCAGGTATAGTTGCAGAGGAGTGTTTTATGTCTTAGTGAAAAGTATTAAAATTCATACACCATGGATTCTTTGTTATTTAATAGCAGTTTTTTTGTCAAGGGCCATTTTTAAAAAGGGGAGATAGGTAGTGCTATGTATTTATGAGCTGCTTGTGAGTTTCAGCAGTAAAAGAAACTTTCATGCGTATATATCAACTATTAACGAGTTGAAATGTCCACAGCAGTGTTTCTAGTTTACACCAATGTTCATAGCACAAGGATAAATGAGATGCCCTATTGGCTCTTCTAGTAAGACAGACATCTTAAATATCAAAATCCTTTTAGTTTCAGTCAAAAAGAATACTAAATAAATCAATAGTGGTGATATCTTCAGATCTAAAAATACTGCAATTTTTAAGTTCTATGAGGTCTTGACAATTACAGCTGGGTGCCAGGTGCCCACCAAAGCTGCTCTGTCACTCCCCTCTCCTCAACTGGATGGGAAGAAAAACGGTGACAGAAGGCTCAGGGTTTGAGATGAAGACAGGGAGATCACTTAGCAATTACCATCACAGGCAAAACAGACTCACCTTGGGGAAATTAGTTTAATTTTATTACCAAACAAATCAGTCCCAGGTAATGAGAAATTAAGCCAAATCTTAAATAGCTTCCCCCTACTCATTCCCAGGCTTGGACTCACTCCCAGTTTCTCTACCTTCTCTCCCCTAGTGGTACGTGGGGATGGAAAACGGGGATTGTGGTCGGTTCATCACACAACCTCTCTGCTGCTGCCTCTTCCTCATGCTCTTGCACTGTCAGATATGGGGGAAGTTTCCAGCAGTTTCTCACAGAAGCCACCACTATAGCCACCCCATTTCAAGACCTCACTGTGAAACCCTGAACCCCAATATACAGATTAATTTCCATTTGGTTCAGGGTCAGCGTAAGTCACAGCAACCAGCCAATGTACAACCTGTAGAAGTAGCACTTTGAGTAGAAGAAGACTTGGGCTTGTGCATGTGACTTAAAAATGTGACCTGATTCTCTAGGGGAGTCTCCCACAGAGAGGAATACCCTATAGCTGGTTGTGAATGGTGTTTGGATTTGTGAAGATAGACTTCTGAATCATTGCGTTTTCTGTAAATAGCAGATCACAAAGATGTTCTGCTGTTTATCATTGTATCTTAAAAGTTGTTTATATTGAAGGTTATTTTCTAGCTATAGAGTCAAATAGGAAATGCCTGTTCAACTGAGAAAAATGGCTGTTGATTTGAGGGCAGTTATGCGAGAAAGGTATTTGAGTGAAATACTTATGCAATTCTTTTGTTAGTTTCTGCTCATATGAAAACAAAATTTTTTTGTCCTACCCTTATGTGTCCGCTGGGCCTGTCTGCTGCAAGAGAGCAGAACGCTGCTCAGCCTGCAGCATCAGCTGTCATGTACTGCTTAGTTGCCCAGAGGGTTTGTAGATGGATGGATTTGGAAGAAACTTGCTCGCTTTACAAATTGGTGATTTATTCTTTTATGTGAAGGTCGTGCTGGACGTGTTTCCAAAGGCTTTTGTTACAGGCTCATACGCAGGGACTTCTGGGCAGACTGTATTCCAGAGAAGTCAGAACCTGAGATGCTGGTAAGGTTTTTGGGTTTAAGATCAGGTTTCCTTTGCTGCAGGTAGTCATATCAGAAAAGCTGTGCTTCGCTTTCTCTGAAGGTGACTGGGATAGTTACTAATAACTAACATCAATGACTAGAATTCAACTTGATAACTCATTGGTAAAGATCATTTCACGTAGTTTCCTTATAGGAGATACATTATAGCCGTAAAATTGATGTGGATTAGGAATAAGCAATCTACTGAAAAGAAAAAAACCCGAGTTGTATGCAATTGATTTCAGATTTTGTGAAATTGTAAACTGACTTTTTCATATAAAACACTTCATCACACTTCCCATGAGGGAAGAGTAACAATAATCTTGTCTTCCCTTCAGCATTGTTCATTGGGAGCTACAGTATTAAAATTAAAGAAGCTTGGTATAGGGGAACCAAAAGCCTTGCTGGCAACAGCTCTTTCTCCACCCAGTGTAGGTGACATTGAACGTACAATAGTTCAGCTGAAAGAGGTAGGCTTCCTTTTAATATTGTTAAAATTAAGGTAATAGGAGTGTACTGCAGAAGTGATTTTCTTTGTATTTAATGCAGTAGTAGCCTTAGTTGGAACTTCAAGTAGGAACTGTGTCTAGAGAGTCTTTCACACCTTGGTCTGTTCTTGGGTTACCATCCTTTTGTGCAGAATTTCTGTAGTTACATCTTTAAAACAAGATTGTAATTTCATCAGGGAGTAATGATACTCTTTGAGGACTAGCATCTGTGGTGAGAAAGAACAGAGAAATAGGCAAAAAAATAACTTAAACTCCGAAAGCGACATTGTTTAAGTAATAAATCACACTCTTACACCGTATGATTTATAGAGGTCAGCCTAAAGATACCTTTTTCATTTGTACAAGGAGGATGGTGATTTTGATTTTCAATTATAAAGTTGATATAAGGGAGACTCTTCATTGCATTAAACTTTTTTCTTTTCCAAAGTGCATAAGAAATAATATTTATATCATTTGTAGCTTGCTTTTACTTCCAGTATATGTAGTAGCTTTGGTTTCAAAAGTAGCAGGCTTTAAAACTTGTCTTAGGTTTAGTTAGCTTTTACAAGTGAATACATTTTAATTTCTCTAGCTTGGAGCACTTACAACTTGCACGCAAACCAAAGAAAATCTGCATGATGGTGAGCTGACTTTCTTAGGAATGGTACTGACACAGTTGCCAGTGGAGCTGCATCTTGGAAAATTGATAGTCCTTGGGCATGTCTTCGGTTGCTTAGAGGAATGCCTTATTATAGGTAACTGAAAGCAGAACATGCGAGAACATTTTTCTAAAACTGAATGATTTGCAGATTTTCATTTTGATTTGTTTCTGTTGTAGCTGCAGCATTGTCTTCACGGAATTTTTTTGCAGTACCTTTCAAAAAGCATGTTGATGCATACAGGTAGTACCCCAGATTTTTTATAACTTGCTAACTGCATTTGAGGGCAGAGGGCAGAGTTGATTGCTCAATATAATTTTCTGTGTCATGAGTCTGATTTTTTGTTAAAATGCCAAGCAGTGCAAAAAGAAGCTTTTCCAGGTAGCTGATACTGGAATCTGTTTATTTGGGATCATAAATCACAGAGCTAACTCGCCCTTTCCTGAGCACAAGGCCTGATTCTTCAGCTTTGCCTTCCTCATGTGGCAGCGTCTATTAAAATGGTTCTTTAAATAGCAAGGACAATTAGTTACTTTTGTCCTGCTCATGCAGTGCATCTCCTTCAGTGAGGAGATGTGAATAAGAACAGGTAATTACAATATTGCTCATGTTTATTAAAGATGTGGAGGGTGTTACTGAGCTGCATAATACATGCAGTGTTTGATAAAAAATACTGTTGCTAATAGTTTTTGCTCATATTGACAGGAAAAAAATGTTTTTTGCTGGGAATAGTAGGAGTGACTGTATTGCAATTCTGAATGCATTTAGGGTAAGTCTTCTGTTACAGCTTAAATTACAGTGAACTCTGATAGGCCAGGATGGAGATTCTCACCTTTGTAGGATCAGTGCAGCATTTGTGCTTTGCAGTTGTTAAAAACTTCACATTATTGATAGCTACACGTTGATCTTTTTTGCAGTCTGTGTCCAACTGTGTAAAGTTCCAATTATCTCTACTCTAATAGCCAAAAAGAAAAAAAAAATGGCAGACATGTGATGTTTGTAGATCATTTTTAAGCAAGGACAGTTTGGACTGGTAAATTCTAGTAAAGAATGAGTGTGATGACCTTTCTCCAGCTTCGGAGAATAGTCAGCTATTTAGCTGACTAATTAGTAGCTTGGCTTTGTGATGTTTTTGAGCAAATGCTATTTTTTGGTGCTCTTGTCTGTTCAGTGGCTCAGTACCATGGACAGGGGTCAGTTCCTCCAGGTAGAAGCAGAGCTGGTACAACACAGCAAAGGTTTCTGCTAGAGGAACTTGCTATTCAGATTCCAGCATTTATATTATGCATGCTCTGGTGTGTTTTGTAATCTTCTGGAGAGTCCAAAATCTTCAGCTGCTGATTTAATTTCTTCTTTTTTTTAATGAATGTTGCCCTTCAGTCAAAACTGACTTGTTTTTTTTTTCTACTCTGCTTTTGTGAAGCGCACATGGACATGTATGGCACATGTATCCACTAATCCTGAGGCTCAAAAATAATGTTTTATGAATTCCTCTTATCCTGTTACTTATTTCCCTTGTGTCATTTGGTTATTATCACCTGTTCATCTGAAGATGCTGTTTCTATAAACCAGTATGTTGTCCTGGAGAATAAGCGTGAACATTCAGACAGAGCTTCCAGAGGAGTATCTCTGTGTGTGAGTGGTGTGAAAGCTTTGTTTTGAATGGCTGAATATCAGAAAAGAACAAGTAAGTTCAGGAAAGTTTGTTTCCAAACTCCTTGTTTCAGGTTAGATTCCCTCTTTCCTGTCAAGGTAGGGAAATGCAGACTGGCTGTTCAAACTTGCTTGTAGTCACTGACCCCAGTAAACTGGAATATTGTATTGTGAGATGACTTGCTGTGAAACTATGAATGGATTCTCAAGGCATCTATCATAAGCTCCCTAATAATGTAGTTATTTTCATTAATATGCTGGGTATTTTAATTTCTCTTCCAGCCCTGTTTTCTGGGAGGCATTTGCATCAGGATTTACCTGAATCAGTCAGTTCACTTCCTTTTGTCCCAAAGCAAGGAGCAAGGAGGGAAAAAAAAAAGGTTTTAAAAGTAATCTGCTTTATTACAGCATCAAATTAAAGCATCCAAGTTGTTCTGATAGTTTATGGATGTTTGTATGTGCTTTAATACTCCATTTCCTCTTAAAAAGCCAGGTGGACAGCCTGTTGTTAAAAAATTACCTTCAGTGTTGATACCAAACAAAAAGTTCATAGTTTTAAATTACACATTAATATTTGTAATAATTACTACTAAAGCCCTACATTTTGTGTCTGAATACTACACCATTTTCTTCCTAGGCATGGCAGGCCTGCAAAGAAAAAGGGAAGCTGAGAAATCCCATGGTTAGTTAAAACTTTCTTCTTCTGTATTCAGGGTTGGTGACTTTAGTGCTGGAGTATTTTATTTTCATAGTAAATATGAAAAGTAAGAAGTTTTTGCTAGCAGTGTTTATTTATAATAATTATGACTTTTCGTGCATAAATAGGCTAGGTTTTGAGAGAAAATGAGCATTTGAATCCAGCACAGTTGTTTGAAGACAATCCCTTACATTAGTCCCTTTCACTGATGACTCAACAGTGGCCAGAGGGTTTGAAATCCAACCTAAAAAGGGAAATTGAGCTGTAGTTGAAAGAAATACTTCTGTTGCACATAAGTATCTGTATTTTTTTTAAACACACAGATTCCTATCCCCTCAGAAAACCCTGAAAGATGGAAGATGTTAAGATGCATCAATCACAAAAACCAGTAGTGTGCCCCCAGTAACTGCCTCCAGTCCTTCTTTTGTGTGTACAAGATAAAACCTTTTTTTATTTCCCCTGTTCTTTCAGAGTGTATCATCTTTTATGATCACCAGTGCAAACCATACACTGAGTTACAAGTAGCCAGGATGGCCAGAATCTGTCTGATAAAGATGTGCATTCAGAGAAAGAAGTTCTGAATTTTTTCTCAGTGTTCCCAGATTGCCACGAAGTCCACTGGCATCCTGGCTTGTATCAGCAGTGGTGTGGCCAGCAGGACCATTAACCAGGGCAGTTAATTTTTTTCCCCCTGTACTTGGCACTAGTGAGGCCACACCTCGAGTCCTGTGTAGAAGACATTGAGGTGCTGGATCATGTCCAGAGAAGGGCAGTAGAGCTGGTGAAGGGTCTGGAGCACAAGCCTCCAGGGTGAGGAGCAGTTGGGGGAACTGGGAGCTTTTAGTCAGGAGGAAAGGGGGCTCAGGGGAGACCATATTGTTCTGCAGCTGCCTGAAAAGTGGTTGAGTTGGCCCGTTCTCCCAAGCAATAGAAGCAGGGAAAATGGCCTCAGGTTGCACCAGGAGAGGTTTAAATTGAAATTAGGAAAAATTTCTTAACTGAAAACATCACTTTTCAAAGACCTCCAAGATCCTCAAGTCCAGCTATTAACCCAGCACTGCTGTGTCCAGGACTAAACCACATCTCCAAGTGCCACACCCACTCAACTTTAGAACAAATCCACCGGTGGCGACTCCACCACTTCTCTGGGCAGTTGGTTGCAGTGTTTTCAGTGAAGAAACTTTTCCTTAAGTTTGGTAGCAGTAGAAGAAAAAAAATTCTGACTTTCTTTTTCAGGAAGAGCTTGAATGGGGTCATTCTAATTGTGTTCACATAAACAAGATCAAAGAGGTAAGATTAAATAGGTAGTAGTTTTTATAAGCAGAAGGAGTTAACTTTCCTAATTTTCTGTAAATGTTAAGATCTTGGGTAAACCTAGTGTGTTACATATCTATCAATACATATAGATGTATATTTTCTTCAAATGAAGTATGAATTTAGATAAGAGGAGTTTTCCTTTTGTTAGGCTAAACAAAGTGGTTAAATTATTAACCTATGTTCTATGTATTTTTAAGAAACTTGCAGTATAATTTCCTAATTTTGTAGGTTCCTCAGGTCACTGGTTGTGGTGTGACTGCTGTCTGTTGTTAAATAACTTCTAAGCAAATACAGTTACATAGTGAGGCCTGGACTTGAGAATTTTTGGGGCTTTGTTGCTAGCATCAGTGCAGCAATTAATGAAAGCTCAGCATCACAATGGACTTCAAGATTAATTTGATATATTGAGGGGAAAATAAGTAAAATTCCTGAGTAATTGAATAGCAGAATGGCCTTGGCCATTATCTCACCAGTTCATACCTTTGGCTTGAGCAAAGCAGGGCCTAGGTTCAAAAACTGCAGGAAATAAAAATGGAATTTGATAGTGAGCAACCATCTGAATAAGAAAGGACAGTAGTTTGATGACTTTGGATATATAATGGCAACAAAAAAAAAGAAAAAAAGAAATTTTATAAAACTGGACAGTGGAATGATCAGTCTCACATGGCAGCCTCTCTTGGCTCAGTTTCAGATAATGCTGGAAGAGGTTGTACATGACATTAAATACATTAAGGAGTTCAGAATGATCACCTTCACTTAACACTTAGTAATATTTAGGGGCTTTTATTTACTGCACCTAAAGATCCTAATTTCATAATCCCTCGTGTGGAAGTGAGTTTGCAGAACTGAGTCAGTCTCAGGGGTTCCTTTCTGGCACTGGTTGTTGTCTGGTAGTGTGCTAAAACTGCCAGCAGCAGAAAGGAAAGGGAAATGTGGCTACAAAAATGTTGTGTGGACAGTGTTTTGTACATTTGCTCCAGAATAATTTGTGAGAGTGAAGGCATTCACTGTGTGGTTGGAGGACCAGTGGTTGCTTGTAGGAGCTTCTTGGAAATGCTGAAGATGGAAAGCTTAATATGTTCTGCTGGAGGGCATAAGTTGGATCTCTCTCACAGTAATCACAGTTGTCTGCTAAACTGAGGGTTCAGCACAGCCACTGCTGCACTTGGGTGCGCAATTCCAGGCTGTTAGCAGTATTTTTACCTCCTAAATCACAAACCTAAAATGATTTAAATAGAGAATATAATATTGTAAAAGGTTGTTACAGTTCTTTTCCTAATTTTGTTCTGTATCATATATGCATGATACATTTTGTGACTACAGAGTTGTTCTTTGTAAGAACATTTTGGGAAAACTAAAAACAGACAACTGAAACCGGAAGGGAGTTCACCCAATTATTTCAGACTTTAACTGGCAGATTTTATTTCAGTTTGTAGCTGTGTTTGATCCATTTTATGTGTAACTTAGAGATCACATTTTAGGTGGCAGAGTTATTTCACAACTTGAAAAAGAGAGTCAGTGCCTTTAACATGCATGTTAAAGCTCAACCATGTGCTATGGACCAGGAATATGTGTGCAAACAACGCTTCATCTTGCAGGTAATGCTTTACTGTCATAAAGAGATGCTATTTACAAAAATTGCAGCTGATTTCTCATAAATTTTCCTGATTTTCAATTTGTATGAACTACTATTACATTAGTTTTCCAAAATTATGTGTGAGTGTTGAAATTCTGGCTAGGAAAAAAAGCCATTTTTTTGGCAGTGTATTGGCAATGTAAAAGGATGGCTAATGTAAGTTAATTGAAAATTATATTTTCCTTTGTTTGAGGTGTTTCATTTGAATACTGGCTTGGTTAGTTAGTGGGGACAGGGTGCAAGGAATTTTACAGCTTTCAGCTATTTTAACTTTGTCTCATTTCCTGTTAGATTACTTGTCTTATTTGGACTGATTAGCAGTGATTTTATTTTCACAGAACTGTTTATCATTTCAGTGGCAATTGGTTTAACTCTGTAAGCAGTGAGAATCTTGGAGTTGAATTGTTGAACATTTTAAGACTGAAAACTGAATAATTTACCTGTAGCTATTCTGTGTGAATTTGTTTAAATTCAGGCTCTTGGAATCAGAACTAGCAATTACAGTTTTCAATCAATAGAACAGAACAAGTCTGCATACAAAAGCATTAAAATGTTGTTGAATTGTTCCAGAAATTAAACTCTTTTCACAAAAACACGTTGTTAAGAATTTGTGTAAATTTGTGTTTAGTCTCCAGTTCTGGTAATTCCTGAACAGAGACAGGAAAAAATATTCATATGAAGATCTGTTGGTGTCTCTATGTGTTGCCAGTGTATCTCATTTCAAGAAACTGAATATAATATGCTGTGTTTATACTTCCTTGACTTCAGGTGGTAATAGCTGGTGCTTTCTATCCAAACTATTGTACATTTGGAAAATGTCATGAAGAAATTGCCATGAAAGACCTTGCTGGCAAGGATCCAAAAACCACTGTAATGGTATGTTAGGAAGGTGAATGACTTAATTAAGAATCAAGCAACAGAAATGTGAAGTCTTTGGGTGGTATTTTCAAGTTCTGTTCTGACTTGGGCAAGGACAAAAGTAATTTCCTGCTCTGATCTTCGCTTTGGTGAAGTCTGTCCCACCTTCCTTCCTTTCAATGCAGTAAACATCGTGTAGGTGGGCAGTTTTAGAAGAATTCCTTAGAACTGCCTCATGTATTTGATTGCTAGTCTTGCACAGGCAAACAACTTTCATCAAACTAAAAATATCTGAAAAATAGAACAGGACCATCGAGGGTACTTTTACTGAATAGTTCAGTTAATGTAGTGTTGCAACTTCAGTGTTACTTTTGTAATCTTCTGATTGTTAGTGCACGGCAGACCTGCTTGTTGCTTTAAGGTTACTCAGGTGTTGCACTGGGGTTTTTACCATCTAAAATTGCTTTTCAGCTGATTGCGTATGTACAAGTTTAAAATGTCCTTGTTGATTTTGCAATATAGTGCACTCTAAACTAAGAAAACACTTGGTGTATCTGAACTAGATATAACACTGTAAAACAGCCATGACCTGTTCTTAAAGAAACCAGATCTACCTGGTTTGAGGTAACTTGTTGGTACCTTGATTTGAAACAAGCCTCAAAGAACAGACTTTACTGCCACAAGAGAAAATAGATAAAAAGGAAGGAGTGTCAGAAAATCTTGTTGCAAGGGATTTTTTTTGTGCTCCATACTATTTAAGGATACTGAAGCAAAGGATCACACTAGACTCAGTCTTGTGGAATAAAGATTAGTCTTGCCACAGCAGCATTGACTAATACTAAATACGTAGAATTAAAAAGCTACTTATTTTAATGTATTTGACTCTTGATCTGCTCATACATCAACGACTTGTTACTTTGGTGGAAGTAGCTGCTGTGTCTTCATCAGTGTCAACGATCATCTTGGGCACAAATGCTGCAAGTGCTTCACACTCTCACTTGGAGAGATTCTTACAGCCATATACTGCTCCTAATGGTGTGCTGAAGATAGGAAAGACAATTAAACCTCCCACTGTCTGGTCTCCCTAAGTTATCTTCCCTTGAGGCGGTTTCTGCAGTCTAACCTAGACCATGGTTTTGACCAGCAGCTGATCATAGTGCTGTATCTTCAGGTCATAGGAACAATGTGAAAAAATTATGTTTTCTCCTGTCTAAAGTTGTAGGAGCCAAAGAAAAGAATAGACAGTTGCATAGACTCTGAAGAATAGTTCAAAGTCTCAAAGTTTGAACTCGCTAATTAGGAGGTCATGATTCTGTATTAACTCAAGATCTCCTATGAGATATTCTTAAAGGGAGCAAAATGGATGTGTGACTAGAGTTGCATGTTAATAGTAGTGAAAGCTTACACTGGAGCTACTCCTCTACACAAGGAAGACTGGGAAATTTCTCTTTGGCATCCCTAAGAGGCGTTGTATCCATGTGAGAGAGCTTTCTAGTTGTGCAGGCTGTCCCACCATAGCTCAGTAATTCAATATGTGATAGTTCAGCTAGGTTATGCAGGAGCTGTAGGTCCTTCAGTTTTCCAGGCTGTGCCTGTAGAGGATTGTTGCTAATTGTGGAAAAAGAATCATGGCATTCCAGTGTTTTTCTGTTACAAGCAAAATCAAGAGACGCTACGCTAGACAGCTTTTTGGAAAAAATACCAGATTAATATGTATAATTACAAATCAGTTTGCTTCATTTAAGGTTTATCTTCTGGTTTGAAGCAGTTAGGGCATTATTAACAGCAAAATGGTGTTTTTTACTGTCTTTTGAGATTCTTGTAGTATCTAGCACTTTAGAAATTTGTTGGAGTTCAGATTGTACATAATTATTGCTGCTCAAGTGACGTGGAAAGCTAACTATTTAGGTGAACTTGAAAATGCATTAAAGCAACTGAATGTTTCCAAATTTAACGTCTTTTTCTTAACAGCTGAAGAACATTCCTCCCTTTGGATATATATACCATAAACAGTTGCAGTCACTGCTTAGACAGTGTGGGCAGGTAAAATCTATTTCCTACAATGGATCAAGGTGAGTGTAAAATAAAGTATCCTGCCTTATGTTCTCAGCTACAAAAGCAGTAATCAATTTTTTTTTTCAGTGATGTACTGACAAATTTAGTTAATTTCTTCTCTCTTTGGAATCAGTAACTTGGTTTTAATGTATTGGTTAGAGTTAACAGGTGGATTTGAAGTCTGATGTACATTGGTTGGAATAACATTGGATAAGCTAGCTGAGGTAGAGCCTTCTGGTTTGTCTCTTCTGGTCTTTAACAGTGGGGCTTAATTGCAGCTCATTTGTGTGTATTTATTTCTGTCTGTTAGACTGAATTTAACTCATTTGTACAGTCTGATGGCTTTTTTGTGCTGATAATCTAATTTCAGCCTATGGCTGCCCAAAGTTGAATTCATGCAACTCTTATTCCTTTTCCAACTTTTAATGACTTCCTTATTCACATATATTTTCACATCCTATTTGCATTAAATTTGGCATGTGCTGGTGATGATGTTAGGAAATTTTCTTATCACTATCATGATAATTAAAGTTTTAAGGTAAATAAAAGTAGTAGGCAGAGCCTGTGAGGAACCTAACATTTACTGTTTGCTGGCCTGCTAAGATACAACCAGGGAGGAAAAAAATGATTTTTTTTTATTTTTTTTTGGTAAACAGGGCTTTTGTGGAGTTCTCCCGTAATCCAAAGGAGGTCTTTAAGGTGCTTCCTGAAGTGTACCTGGCAGTCAAGATGTCACAGCTAAAGATTCCTTTTGAGCTGTGTGTTCACTATCCAGAGGATATCACAAGACAAGTGCAAGGTGCAGCAGCTGCAGGCTTGGAATTTGTAAGGTAATTGTATTTCTTTAAAGAAATACAGGTAATAAAGGTAATTTCTTTGCAGCAAAATGGGGTTTGCTGGATTTGGTGGGAATTTCTTTGAAAGAGTCACCAAGGAAAAAACATTACATTCAAAAAACAGACGTGAACTTTGTCTAAATGGAATGTTTTTGCAGGGCTAGAAAGAATGTGGTTGTTTTTAAAGATTTCTTTATAGTTAAAGGTATTTTGCTGTTCAAGAGAATTCCAAGTACACAGTCATCTTCCCCCCAACCCCCAAGGTTCTATTCCATTTTCCTTTGGCGCATGAAAGTATGGATGTACACAGTTATTTCTGTTTATGACAGAGACAATATGGGGATTGTGATAACCAAAATAAATAAGGAGTAGCATTTGGGACAAAACAGAAAGGGAGAGAGACAGAGCTTAACAAAAGTAACTGTGGGGAAACATAAGGACATGAGATGTAGCAACATAATAGGAAATAATGCTGAGAAATGTTGTGTTGAGTCTCTTTGGTCTGCTTTGGCTTGGAAGGTCTGGCATGTTTATCTCAGTGTTATGCTGTGATTCTGAGCTTCAGGTCCTACAAGTAACCTGATAAAATGGCATTCTGCCTAGCTCCTGATTAGTCTGCACCCGTTTCAGTATTTTAAAATAAGAAATCTAGAATAGGAGGGCAGAAATTAACTGAGAAGGTTAAAGTATAGGTGAGTATTTTACTTCTGGTTGATTGTACTTAGCTTTTAATAAAATATTTTAGCACCTTCACTCTGCCCAAAACAGCACTTAAAATCTTTGTGAAAATCTATTCATGAGGAACTCAAGTCTCTTAGGCTTGAAAGACTTCATTTCAAAGTTCTTTAATTTGGTTAAATAAGAGGAATCTATTTTTATATATATATATATATATATATACATTAAAATTTCTCCATTAAAATTTGCTGAATGTATGTTTGTGGTTTTGTATACTCTGTTTTTTAAAAAATAAGCTTAGAAGAAAACGCCACAATGAAAAGCCTCACTATTTAACCTTAATTTCTTCAATTTTTTATAAAGTGATGGCAGAGTTGTGTCCTGGTATGTATCTTTCTGTGTTTGGTTATATTGCAGTTGAAATAGTTACTCTGTAGTAATTTGGTTCTCTGTGGTCATTTTTCATTCTAATCAAATTAATGTATTTCTAAATAGAAGTAATTAAGTACATAAATGTGCCCTAGGGATACTTTGGGAAGCAGATGAAAGTGAAAATTCATCTTCTTCGGTTTTCCTGGTGAGTGAACTATTTAGCATCTTCATTCCATTTCAGAGTAAATGTGGACTGTCAGAAGCAGACAGTGGAGCCTGTGGAAATCTCATTTGGTGGTTTACAAATGTCAAAGATGATCCCAAGTCGTTACCTGTCCATCAGGGTAACAGAGGTAGGAATGTTCTATATCTGAACTAGGTCATATCTAATAATTAGTACCTAGATAGCTCAGCAGAGATTAATATCTGAGAAGCTTATGTTAAATAATTGGGTATTGATAATGTTTTTAGTGCAGAGGTGTTTGGAAGAAGCATGGGGAATATTCTTGGTCTTATTTTTAGTAGTTCTTTGTTAAACAGCAGTCATGTGTTTTCACTTGGCAAAATTTGTGAGATTTGCTGGCAGTAAATATTAGCTGGAAGGAGACAAATGTAAAGAGGATTAATGGAAGAGGTAAAATACTTGTGTAAACTATAAAAATGAAAATCAGAAGGTATTTGGGCCATTTACCTGGTTATTAACTGCCAGTTTTCTTCAGAAAATGTACATATGAGAAATGAGATGAATTAATGGTAGTATATGCTCATTCAGAAAAATATTTTGTGCATAGACATGTATTAGGGGAAAATTCTATGTATATACAAGTATTTCTGAAATCTGAAGCTGAGATTTTTAAATCTTGTGTTAGATATCATCCTCATTAGTTGAGTAATCGCAATATATATGCTGCTGAAATAGAGATAATAAAAACATTCAAACCACTCAGCTAGGGAAAATGATAAGATAAAGTAGTAAACCAGCTCTTGTTAGTAGTGGCATATTTTACAAGTGGAGAAGAGATTTTCCTCCTTTTAGTCAGCTAAATTTCTCGGCTGAAAAATGTTAATGAGTTTGATCAGACCCATTGCAATCACTTGGCTTTCTGTGCTACTTCTGTTTTAATATAAGAGCTTTAATGACTGTAAATAAAGATTGTTTTTTATCACAAGCATTCAATAGAAAGTCTGAAATGGTTGTATGAGTTTAGACGTTTGAGAAGATGACTTACTTTATTTAAATGGCTTTAAATAGTTGTATGTTCTCGCCAGTTTCCTAAAGTATGGCTCCATCATAACAATGACAATGCTGATGTGCACACGTAGCTGACTGGTATTCTGTCACTAGTAAAAAAGGTGCACCAAATTTGTGTACCTGTCAACTTTGTCTACCTTGTATTTTCTGTGTGTTATCTTGGTTTAGGTAAATGGAAGCAGTCTTTTCCTAATTTCCTGTATTCTAGTAATGCTTATATTAGAATCTGGTTATATGAAAAGTGTGTTGCAGTCATGCAGCAAATAAACATTTTCAAAAAATACTGAATTATGAGACAGAAATGCGTCACTGCATTGTTACAGTATGTGTGAACTGTTGTGTCAGGAGTAAGAAGTGTTTTCATCTATTTTGCTCAGATATGGTTTATATTTGATATAGAAGAATAATACAAAATCTGTTACTGTCTAATTTTTATACTCTCAGATAGTAGAAGTTGGACACTTCTGGGGTTACAGGACAGATGAAAAAAATACAGCTGTACTCCAGGCTCTAAGTGCTGAAATTGACTATCAGAACCTGATGGATTTAGCAGTGCCTCCACGTGTAGATGTGCTTTGTCTGGCACCATTCACTTATCTGGGGAAGAGAGGATACTACAGAGCTCATGTTCTGTATATTCATGGGGATCTTGCTGAGGTAATGTGCTGTGTCATATTGAGTTGGTAGCATGTAATTGGGTTAACAATCTTGGAGCTTTGCTGCCTGGTTTTTTTATTTATTTTTTCTATGAATCACTTTGGCCAGAACAGATTGTTTCTTTTCCAGAACACAGGAATTTTTAGTATTAAATTGAGAAGCTCTTGCAGAATGAAGTAAAATAAAGACTTGAAACCTCCAGTGAATCTGAAAAAGTGGCTTTTCTTTGGAATGGTGTTTATGCTGCTGAGTTCTATATCATCAACAAATTCATCTGAATATTTTGGCTCCTTGTGCTGAAATGAGTAATGGAAATCAGTGCCACAGTTCAAGATTGGTATTGATTTCTCAGGCCAATACTTTTCAGCAGTTTAAGGGCAGATTTTTTAAATTTTTTTTAAGACTGGCCTTTGAATTTAATTTATTTCTTAACCTGTCTGGGTGTCACTCTTATAGAGTTAATACTGAATATTGTCATGGTTTAAAGTCATGAAGAACAAGTGAACAGTAGTGCTAATCTCACCACTTTCTTATTTGAATTTATAAACAGGCACTGAATACATGTTCACATTTGCTTAGCTGAAAGCAGTTGTTGGTAGTACTGCTCACTGAAGATGTAAGGTTACACAGATCTGAGTGTGGGGAGGGAATTTAGAGTCTTTCAGAGAAACTTGACTTTTCTAGATTTAGCGGATTATTTGCATTACAAGTGGATATTTAGGCCAAGGGATCAAATAATAGATGTGATACAATTCGACATATTCTTTTTGACATGACGTCATTTGCATGCTTTCTAGTCCTTGAATTTGCTTCCTTGTAACTTGATAAGGTTTTGGTTGTACTGTAATTTTTAAAGTCAAATTGTGACTTTCCTTGCCACTAAAAGTAACACTTTTAGTGTTGTGGAATCTTTGCAAATACTGTTGATTCTTTTTCCAGGTTTTTTTTGTGGATTACGGCAATAGATCAGAAGTGCCTTTAAATAAATTAAAAGAGATTCCAAGCTGTCTTCAGGGGCTTCCTTTTCAGGTAGGGATGATGCTGTTGGCTGCAGCTTACTAGATATTTTTGTATTTGGCATGGCAAACAGGAGTGAACTTCAAGTCAGGATGCTTTTCAGAATAACACTTAAATAATATGTATTTTGCTGGTGGAGGTATCTTCAAATCACCTTCTCTAATAGGCAAATGTTTTCCAGAGGTGTGTGTATTCACAGAGCAGAAATTCATGTGTCTAATTGAACTACATTGTATTTAATTGTAGAGAAACTGAATTTTGTAAAGCTATGGTTTTTATTCATGCTGCTTTGCTGTTCTCTGAACTGCTGGCTTTCCTGGGATCTTTTCAGACAGAATTCTCTTCATGATTAAAGATGAGTATTATAGATCTAGTGAGCTTTTAACACAAATTAGAGGGATTTTATGGCTAGTTTTTCAGAAGAATAGTTCTCTTGACCTATATTTACAAATAAAGTAACTGTACTTTAATTGTAATTCAGTTTCTCAGTGCTCACTCAGATATTTTTAAGCTAATAGAAAGAGCTGTATCATATTAATTGTATTCTCTGAAGCATTTGATGATGAAAATGAGAAATGGACTAGCAGAAATAAGATTAGATCTTGACAGGGCTAATTTTGTTTGGTTTTCTTTAGTAATTGTAAAAAAATAATTTTGGCAAGAAGTGTCCTTTTTTGTATTTTCTACACACATACTGAATGGAAATTTATTTTTGCTTTAGGGCTGATCTTTTAATGACCAGTTTTAATGACTAGCTAGATAAAACCCAGGGTTTCTGCTGTAAATTCATTCAAAGACATAATTACAGATGGTGATTGTGGACTTTAGAACTTTGAGTACTCTTGCCTGCCAGCAACAGAAGAGCTGTAGTGGTCTTAACCAAGTTTCCTGTTACCTTAGTTGAAAACAGTTGTAGACTGTAAATTTTTTCCAGAGCAGACATCTCTGTGCTCCTAAGATTTCACTGTGAATAGTGAATTACTACCAAATTATCCTTTATGCGCTGTTTGCTCTGATTCCTTAGCAATTATGTACTATATTGAAGGGATATGAGCTGTCATGTGTTGGCAGTGATGGAGTAGGAATTACGCCAGTAGCTTTACAGCAGCCCTAGGAGTTAACATAAGCCACCACAATAATGATGAAATCATTTAGAGTTATTAATTCAGACAGTTTGTTGAGAAAGTGAAATATTTCCTTGCCGATTCTCTAGTCAGGCAAGCGCTGTTCCCAGTGTTTCTGCTCTAGGCTTTAGAGTTCAAGATCTGCAAGATGAGTCCCTCTGCCAGATCGCTGGTGTGTGGGGAGCGGTGGAGCTGCAGCGCCAGCCAGAGATTTTTCTCGCTGGTCAGCGGCTGCACTCTGCTCGTGGAGGTTTATTCCCTCGTGCACGGGGTCCTGCACGTGGATGTTTTCCGTCATTCGGGCAGCAAAGGCCTGCTGAACATTCGGGATGTGCTCATCGAGGAGTGTCACGCTGAGCTAGCAGAGGAGTCATACGAATCACAAGTATGTACTGACTAAGCTGCTGCTCCTTTTCTTACTCTAATTTATTTCAGTTCTGGCTGTCCTGGGAAGCTGAGCTGCAGCTTGACTAGTGGCAAGGTTAATACTTGAATAGGGCAATGTATTTTTGTTTGTGCATAATGCATATTGAGCTGTTGGCTGAAAGCATTGCTGCTTTGAGAGCCCTTCTGGAAGAGACGTTTTCTGGGAACTGATTTCCTCAATTGAAATGCTCCACTATGATTTGAAGCTCTGAAAAACTGTAACTGCTTTGTAGTTTTAACTCTCTTCCAGTCTGATGTTTTATATAACCTGAAAAGTCATCAGAACATTGCTGTTTGTCTTTGTCTGCTAATATTTCTTTGTGTAGGATGTGCTTTATAAAATTTTTGAAGAAGTAATTGTTCAGTAGTTTTAACACTTCCATTGTTGTGTAGCAAAGCCATGATTTGCTCAAGGAATTATTTTCGGATGAAGCAAAGGAAAAAGAGCAAATGCCTGTATCTGCAAGACAGGAAGAAAAGCATCTCATTGAAAGATTGTTGAACTGTTTTTCTGAAAAGAAATCTGATGCACCAACCCATAAGGTAACTTGAGTGGTGGTTTTGGCCTGTCATCATGTGATCCTGCTTCTCACATTGTTAGGATGGAGATGAGGACTGAAAGTACCACGAATAACAAAGCTATGTTTGATAGGACATTCTGCTTTCTGTTGGTAGAAAGCCATAGTGTGACCACTGTCTCAGATTGATCTGCTGCAGCTTTGAGCAGAGTTTTGAAGTACAGCCTGAGAGCTAAGTGTTCCTGCTCTTCTAATACATCTAAAGCAGCACTTTGAACTCATGCAGAACAGAGATAAAATAGAACAGCTGAATGCAATGTTTCTGTACATGGTAGTCTTCATTATATAAGCCACAGCAAAAAAAGCAAGTTTACAACCCTATCAATTTTTCAGAAAATCTAAACATGGTTTTTACTATACATAGTATTTAATTCTTTATCAGCTAGTAATAGGTAAGCAGGTGGGATAGGTGAAGCAGTGAACGCTCCAGTTACTGATGGTAATGATGCTTTTCCTCTGCCAGTGCCAAACTCAGAAATGTGTTTTGAGGTATCCAGTCACTACTAAGTTGGAATATAGAACAGGAAAATGTGTGTCCTGTTCCACATTGTGATGACAAGTTAGGCTTCATCTACATTCTGATTATTTTCCCATTTCAGACCTGACAAAATTTCAGGTTTTCAAGCATCTAATCATACTCCATTTGTGCACAGGAGTAATCCTATTTAACTGTCCATTTCATAAATTGAGATATTTTCAGGATTAAAGACTTCATCACATAAATAAAATTACCTGATTTTCTTAAGTGATCTATGAAGTTTGAATTCGAGTTTTTTAAGCCAGAGGAAAGTCATGAATCTGCAGCACCTGTGAAAATTGATAATTTTAGTTAAAATGCCTCAACAAGCAAAGTTCACTTCAGATGAGTGAAATGGAAGTGCCATACTACCAATTTAGCAACTCAGTGTAGCTCACTACATGCTGAAATGTGTTTGGCTTTAATTTATAAAGCATTTAGATTTGAAGACATCCAGGTGCTGGCTAACTAGAATGTCATTTGTCTCTCTCCCTTTTTTTCAAGGTAAAAGTTTTTGGTCCATTCAGTCCTTACCAGCTGAAATGCTACAGTCTGACCAGAATATCCCAATTCAGGTATGAGCAGACTTATTGTGAAGTATAGTCATGTTCTTATCTTTCATGTTCAACAAATGGGCAAAAAACACCCAATTATTCTTACAGATTTTTTCTGAATTTTTATTAATTGGAAAGACTGAAGGAGGAGTCAAGCCTGAATAGCATTAATACACACACTATTGCTATTTAAAATCTTAGAGTAGTTTTAAGGTGCATTATTGTCTTACTGAGACATTATTTATTAACCGTCATTTAAATCTATTAACAGTAAGCAGCTAGTTGGAGTTTGTGTTGGGAATGTAAATTTTTTACTTACATGTTTTTATGAGTTTTGGAGTTTTATATTGTTGAAAATATTTCTTCCCCAGAAATGTTTTCATAAGTAAGGAGAGCATAAACTCCATTGTTGTCCATGATGGTGCAGAAGATCCCTTTCAGCAGCTCTTGGTCGCCACTGATGTGTCAGTAACTGCAGCTGGTAATGCCTAATAAAAATGTTTGGATGGTTTCTCTAGACTTCTGGTTTTATATGTGTAGTTCAGTGTTACATCTTTTTGAGGTTTCATTTTCATTAAATGCTCCTTGGAGTTGTGTGATTTTTTTAAATTTTTTTTTTCCTTTTGGTGCCAGGGTGTCTGATTTTAGGAGAAACATCTTTGATGCCTCCTATTCATGGCCTGCTTGCACTCCTCAGTATGCTCTTTGCTCCTGCAATAGAACTCAGGTATTTGTACATTTTAAAGTGGTGGTTTTCTTATAATTTTCATTAGGATCATCACATATTTTTGTCAGATATTATTTATTTGCTTTTGGCATTTTATATATTCTCTTCCTGGTATTTTTTTATGAGTTTTAGTATAGTATGTGGGTAAAATGTCCATGTACTTGTGAATTGGTGCTGCCGTCTCCTCTCATGATAAGGCATTACAGCTCCTGACAGTGCTGGAAGCCTGGGAAGGTGGAATATAAACTGGGAATATTAAATCTACATGAGGAGAGGAACTTCTATAATTTTTTGTAAAAGCTGAGCTCTGGCAGTGGCATTAATGTTGTATTTTCTTGAATATCTGGTATTTGTAGACTGTCACTTCAGAATAGTGAAGCTTGCTTTCCTTTATTTTGCTTATGTATGTTTTTTGGTAAGTTTTCTGAGTATATGTTTTTATAGCCAGAACTTCAGTTTTCTTTCATCACTGTATGTTTTAAAAACCAGTATGACTGAGTGTGAATGCCTCTCAGTGGTTTCAGCTTCTTTCAAACATGTGTCTTGCTCTGCATGGCTTAGACAAATTAATTTAAGTCTGTCTTCCTAAGAGTTTCGTTTCTTCTCCTTTTGGTGAGACTATTTTCTTTCATCTAGAGTTGATAAAAGTGGGAAGTATTTTACTGGTGTTCTTTGTGGTTTGGGTTGGAGTCAGACATCTGGGACTCCACTGCTTCCAGCAAATGATATGGAGGTGACATTTGATGTGCATTTCGGAGTGGAAGACATAAGAGAGGTAAGACTTGTGTAAGAATTTTCACTGCAGTAGGAATTCAGTAGAAGTCAGTGCATCTGAGCTTGTTAACTCTTAGTTGACATAGAAAAGCTTGTTTGGACTGTGGGGTTTGAGTTTTTTGTAGTTTTGTTTGTTTGTTGGGGTTTTCTTAGGTTTTGTTTAGGTTTTTTAATGTACTCCCTTTTTATAATCTCGGATTTTTATCAGGAGAAGCAGTTGCCCCCTCCCTACACTTGGAACAAATAAGTTACTATAGAATGTTACACACTTTACAAAACATAATCATCAATTTTGCACTAACCAGAAGTCAAGACTTAGTAGTTTTTTTCTTAGGATTGTTACATTTTTTACTGACAAGCAGAACACTGCTGCTTTACAGGCTGCAGTTTGATTTTACAGCTCTTTTAAGTCATATGTATTGAGCTACATCTCAGAGCAGCTCAGCTAAACAAACAGTAAAGCCCCTGCATTCCTCATTACTGCATTTTGCTGCTTAGAGAGTGAGGTCTGTCAGAGTGAAGCATGTACATAACGTGTGCAGGACAGTGGCTGCGTTTGAGATGTGCCTGGGACAGTGAAGGACATGCCCTGGTTAGGTGTGTGTGCGAAGCAGGTGCTTGGGGTGCTTCCTGGAGGTGTTCCAAGGATGCAGTGGAAATGCTGGTGTTCATATCTGTGAGCTGTTATTTTCTGAAAGCACAGACGTGGCGTGATGGCTGTGTACGTGATGCCTTAGCCAGAATGGTAACAGCAAGCTGTTGTACATGTGAAAAATTAGGGACAGAGAGAGAAAATGCTTGAAACTTTCACAGAAGGAATTGTGTGTTGGAAAAAGTCCAGGCAAGTGGTAGCCTGTATGTTTTATGGCATTTCTGAGCAACCTTAAAAACTCTGATATCAGGAGACTGAAATACTAACATCACTGACCACCAGAGGTGCAACTGCAGGAAGAAGCATTTTTGAAGCTTCAGATGTTTTTACTTACGCAAATAATATTCTATTTGAAGTTCAGTGATGTGGATGCCATCACCACCATGTCAGTATAATTCGATACAGACCTTGTGCTGGTTTAGTGTTTTATGTTCTGTAACTGGTGTTTTACAGATAAACAGTCTGAGGACAGCCATGAATAAGCTGCTCTGTGAGCAAGCAGTGTATTCTGGACAAGAGCAAGTGGCACAGCTGCAGGAGAATATTCGTCAGAAGCTTCTATGGTAATAATTTTGTAGAAATAAGATCTTCTATTTCACAGTCTCAGCAGAAATGAGTGATTGCTTGAAGCATAGCTCAGATTAGGCTTTGGAAAAATAATATATGCTCTCATTTAATAATGTATTTAATTTACTTTGTTTATTTATGAAACAGTATACTAAACAACCTTAGACTTCTTGTGGAAGCACTGGTTCTTCAGGGAAGCCAAATCACTTAGGAGTCATAAAACCTAGACTGTAAAACCTGTTGTACAGGATATCAGCTCTTATGTATTCTTGTTTTTTTCACCCAAGACAGAGCTAATGGAGTCCTAAGGTATAACAGTGCAGAAAGATTTAGAATTCTTTCTTCCTGTACATTAAATTTGAATCATGTGTACTGCCTTTCCTCACTCAGTAGACCTGTGCAGAATAGGTGCTGGCTAAGTGAATTTAAGTCCCAGGCAAATTCAGGAACTGAAGTAAGGCCACACCTGCCTTGTTTTCCCAGCAAGCCTCCCTCCTTCTGAGTGAAGCAGTGCTTCTGAAAAGACCATCGTGATTCAGTGCAGCCAACCTGGAGAATTTTTCAGCTTGTAGTTTGGGAGGAGTGCAGTGAGCTAGCCCAGGAACAGCTCCTTCTGTCTGTCCCTGCTGAGCATAATGTGAAAAATCTTCACTTGTTTGTACACTCAGCATGAATTTTAGTGCTGTCTGTGTCATCAGGAGAATTTTCTCATCCTGACCTGGACCTCTACTAAACTGTCCTTAAAAGAGCTCTAGTCCAGAGTCCATAACATACTTTTACCAGCCTCATCTCTAAGAAATATGACCCTTTTTTTGCCAGTTGAGCTTTGCTGAAGTAACTGCATGATGTCAGAGTTAGGCACTTCATTGTGCTGACAAAGATCAGAACCCTGCTCTTACCCAGGGTTATCAGAATGATTATCAGAGCAGCTGTTCATGCTGATTTTAAAAGTGTTCCTTGGTTTAGAAAGTACCTGCTCTCTTATCTGTGGGGAAAAAAACCTATTCAATTGCCTTAAGTTAAAAGCAAGCATCCTTAGTTCATATTTCCAAAACTCCAAATAAAATTTGGGTGTGTTCCATAGTAAATTAGCAAGTCAGCCTTACCTTTCAAGGTGCTAGAAATGAAATTAGAAGAGCACAAGCAAGGGAGAAGTCGAGGAGTGTGGATAGGCAGAAAGAGGCAAAGCCACAACCCCTGTCTGGAGGTGACTGTAACAGTAACAGTTAATGCTGGGACATCAACACGTACATGCTAAATTGAGGAGTCACTGCTATTTGTTCAGACATGTGAATACTTGCTACAATTTCAGTACCGATTTTGGGCTGATTGTTCAGACATCTCCAGCCAGCTGGAGGGGAAGGGTCAGACCTTGGCACAGGTCCTGGGCACTGACGTGTTCCCGGCTCAGTCAGCTCAGACAACCTGACTCGGTCACTCTCATCAGCCCCGGGCTTTTTTGTCTTCAGGATTTTATACCTTTCTGTGGTAGCCTTTTCTCCCCTGGATTTTGCTGTACATTTATTGGTTGTCTTCCAGTCATCCCACAGAGATTTTTATTTAAATTTTTAGTTTATATTATTTTTGTATGTTTTTATTTGAAGGAATAAACAGTCTGATTATTGTAATGATTTCTTCTTTTCCCTTGTGTAAAATCTTACTTGGTTTTGAATATTTTTTCCCAGTTGTACTTCCTGTGTTTTGGAAAAACCATTTATTAATTCAAGTACATAGGTAAAAATTTAGCCTGAACAGTCTTTCATAACTGTTTTCCATTTTTCAAAAGCTAATTGTATTTACAACATGTCACCACTACTTAAGACTAAAATCAGTTTTTGAAAAACACATCTAGACAGAATTAATTAATGTCTACTACTGTTGTACTTTGCACAGCTTGAGGAAATAACTGGAGCAGACAGACAATCTATAGTAATTGAGTTGTCATGCAAAACAAAATACCCTAAAAATAGCTATATTATACATTCTAGTGAGTAAGCATACATAAAATGTAAGGAATAAATTACAGTTGCAAATTCTAGTGCTTTGTAAAAAAAGAATCTCATTATTTTCTTTAGAAGAAACTACATTCTGATACATGATACATCCTTGTGAAAAATTGTGTTTTGACTTATTCCACTGGACAGGCAAAGTACAGAGAAGTGAACAAATCAGACTAGATTAAGAGAGAAATTTAAGATTCCTTTCAGCACAGACACCTTGTAAATACCTGGTTGTATCTCATGTAAAAAATCCTTTGTCTTTATAATTAACCAAATACAAGTATATTTCTTCAGGCTGTATTTATATAATTTCAGTTTAATCTGCAAATCAAAGCCTCGAAGCATAATTGATCCTACCTGGTATGAGAAGCCATATGCATGGAATCAGGTAAGGCTATACATTTTAAAGGTTTTTTTTTTGTTTTGGTTTTTTATTTTTTTTGAGGAGTTTGAGTACTCCAGGGCAGTTAATTAAGAGTGTTGAAAGTGAGAACTTCTGTGATTATTGAATTAGAAAATACCAAAAGCACTGCAGGGTTAAATTTAAAGCACAAGAACTTTTATTTATGTAATCACTTACGACTGTTCATACTCTGTTTTTGTAGAGTCTGTTTAGTTGTTGGATGGCTTGTTTTTAATTTTGTGTATATAAATATTTAATGTTTTTAAGCAGAACTCTCCATGGTTTAGGCTGAGAGAGATTGTAAAGGCAACTTCACATTTGTTGTTAAAGTTTTCTGTTTCTGTCAAGCAGCTGTAGCTACATTTTTCTGAATGCAGCACATTTTAGTTTTGTTTCGGGATGCTGTGGTTTGAGGTGGATTTTCCTTTCTAGGCAGACAGAAATGTGGCTTATTTTGGAACAGATGGGGTGGGGTCAGGCAGGAGGGCAGTTTTTCCAAGACCCAGGAGGGTTTCATAGGAAAACTCTCCTAGCTTCCTATTCTGTTAGAAATCTTACCTTTCTTTCTGTAAGGGCCTCTGCAGGCCACTGGATTTCCTGAAGAACAAGTAGGGTTCCTTAATTAAAAAGGGGGTGAGGAATTACTGGGTGCAGGAGTAAAAGTGCTACACACACCCTCCCTGTGCCTCTCCCACCAGCAGCCCATAAAGGAGGGGTTTGGGTCACCCTTGAAAAGAGGGACAACAAAGAACACCAAGGGCACTTACTTTTAAAAGGCATTTTTTAGAGTGTGTTGTGATACACTGCCTTAAACCAAAGTGTTTCTATTTCTGTATTTCAAATTCAGTTGTCCTTGGATTTAGGAAGATAATATACGCATTGCTGCTGGTGTTTACACTAATGTGTAGGCCTTGAATCAGGATTTTTCCCACTGCATCTGAAAAATCCCAGGACATCTTAGATCATAAAATACTGCCTGTAATGCTTTGGAATTGCTTGTGGAACAGTGTTCTGAAATCATGGCAAACCACGAGATAAAGCATTTTGTAGCCCTGACTCTTTTGTTGCAGTATGTGGCAGGGAACTGAAATTCCTGTATGATTTAAAACTCAGAACTCCTCAAGACTTTTTCTCAGCTGTGTTATATAGGAAAACATTAGGAATGCATTCTGACTTTCATCTTGCTTCTTTTGACTAGGTGGATTCTCAGCGTATTATTGACGAGTCTGAAAAGCAGCATGAAGGAGGAAATTTTGTTTATCAGCTCCACAAGCTTGTTTTGTTGAATGATTAAGTATTTCTAGAAATGTTTCAGAGGATGAGGTATTATTAGTCTAAAAATTACTTCTGCCTTGTATGCATGTTTTGCAAGACTGTTCCTTAAGATGAGTACAAGTGTACTGAAATACAGTTTGGGAAATGTTTCTGTGTTTCTGAAAAAGTTGATGTTTGCTGGCTTAGAGCAGACAAGTTTAGTCATAAAAGAAACTGATGTAAATCAGGATGCAATTTTCATTTTAGTAATACTTCTGAACAGGTTTATCACAAAGTACATGAAAGATGAAGCAAATCCAGGCTGTTGTTCATTTTCTGTCTGAAATCTCATAAATTAAGGGGCATGACTTCTTTTGTCTGTAATTGCAAGTTGCATTTTCCTGTTTTCTTTTTTACTAGTTTAAAAATATATGCAACAAAGGGGGTTGGGGTTTTCCTTAACCAATAAATAAAAGTCAGAAGAAACTGATGATCTAAATGATGTTCTGCTCCAAGCTGTATCTTCATATACTGGACACAATTTTTTTGTACAGCAAAACATAACATGATTTATTTTCTTGTATGACAGAAGAATGCTTTTGAATTACTGATTCATGGCACTTTGTTTCATCCTTTTGTCTTATTTTTACCTGGGAGATCTTTAGCCCTAAGAATGAGGTCAGTGGTTTCAGACTACAATGCAGAAATTAAATAAAATGGTTTTGTCTCTTCCCTTGTGTGGTCATGCTTAATAAAAGCTAAATTTAGTCATTAATGATATGTGATTGCATTCATGAAGTACATGAATTCAGTATACAGAAGAGACGTGTACCGAATCTGCACTGTTCAGTCAGTGATTTGAAGGTCATGTAATATCCAGTCATCCTCTGGAGGACAGAGAATCAGTGGTCACCATAAAGAAGTGGCAGATCTTTGGAAAGTAAGGAGGTGCTTAAAATAAGTAATTATTTTAAGGTGTAATTAAACAGAGGGATGACTGTGTAACTGGCAGTTTCAGTGGTTTATTACAGCATTACCTTCTTAGGGCCATTTTACTAATTCTTGGAAATTAGAATAGTTCGTGAGAGAGGTCTAACAGAAAAATTGCATCTCAAGTGGTTTAGACAAGAGTATTTCTCAGCCAAGTGTTGTACACCAATTAAGTGTTCCTGTTAAACACCTTCAGGGGCAAGTGGAACAGACAGGATTTCAAATCTTGCTTTGTCTATTTATGATGGGAGTTTCCATAGGAAAAGGAAATCTGGCCATGCACAAAGGCACGAGAAAAAGGAATTAATCCACATAAGCAACAAGCAATTTTTATTTTTTTTTTCCATTTTTTTATTTTTTAAAATTGTTAAACTCTGTTTCTCCCAAGTGTGGGTCTGTTTGTGTGACTGTGCTGCCACCAGGTGGGGGCTGCTGTGATACGGGATAGAACAGGCCTGAAGGAAACTCAGCATCCTTCAAGTCAGCCTTGCCTGGATGATGTTTATTTGCCGATGAAAATACACAGTGTAACATTTCAGAAGGAGCTGTTGTATTTTATTGTTTGATTTAGGCTTCAACAGCATTGCAAAATAACTTGAACTAGGTTAAGCTAAATAGATTCAGGATTTCCCTGTTCAGAGAGTAATTGTGTATCACACTGGAGAAAGAAGTATTGTAAAGTAGCAGTGTCTGTGTGGCTGTGAACCTGATCCCACTCAATTTCGTGGCTTTTGGGGGCTAATTCCATAAGAAAAAAAGGCCATGACTACTTGTCAATACTCACTTCATCTCCAGATGTTCATCAACACTGAGCAGAATGAGACTTCACTTGTCATAATTAATAAATGATTTATGTAATTCTTCATTGAGCTCAACGTGAAAGTATTTCAATCTGTAAATGGTCAGATTAATACTCTTGCATGTCTTCAGTAATAATGATAAAGTGACAAACTCATCTGATAGGTGCTTCTAGAATCTTAAACAATGTGCATTGACTATTATTCGTAATTTGTCCCACAGCTACAGTGACACCTGATAGCAGTTTTAAATCAAAATGAGATTTTTTTTTTGCCATTCCATGTAATTAATTTTGGAATTTACTGCCATGGGCTCTGATGGAAATCAAATATATAAAGAAATAGAAAAATAAACTGGAACTCCAGGGAAGGCAGATCCTTCAATAACTGTTAAAATTTGAGGAACTGAACTCCCTACCATCCTGAATTCCAGAACCTCAGAAAATGTACTGAAAGCATGTCTATTTTTATCCTTGCCTCAGTGTTTCCTTATGACAGGTATATAGGTGGAAAAAAGTTGGTTACAAATCCTTTTACAGAGAAGTCACCTGTGGTTCCTCAACTGATTGTTGGTAGTGCTGCAGAGCACTTGCTCTGTTTTTTCAGGAGAATCATTGTCAGGATGAACAGCGAAAGGGAAAAGGATGTAACACAGTTGGGAATTTCCTAATTCCTTCCCCCAAAAAGGATGTGTGTAGGGATTTAGGGGGCTTTGAATGAGCCCAGCTGAGTCCTGCTGCAGACACAATTGCACCATGACCCCATGGCAGGTGCTGTGTAGTAACTCCAGCTGCTGGAGTACACTGTGTTTGTTGACACATCCACAACTAAATTTTCTATGTAAACAAACATTATGCATCTGCTGGAAGGAAATACTTTTTTCAAAAGAATTTAAAAATTGCATCTAATTCCTGTTGTGTATCAAAGAAATGCATTCCACTTCATATATTTCTTGCACAGATCTCAAAGCATCTTTATTCATTGTACTCATTTCACTGTACTACTCAGAGTCAAAAAAAGTAATCAAGATCACATGAAATGAATGTGATGATGACTTTTAAACTCTACAGAAAGTTCATTTTAGGTTCCTCCAGAAAGAACAAAACTGAAGTTCCATTTGAGCAGGATTACTAGCATTGGTCAGAAATTCAACACTCTCTTTCACAGAATAAGCAGCTTTTGGAAATGTTTCTGGGGGAAAAAAAAAAAAAAAGTTATTTTCCTGTTTTTTTAACATTAGTGTTTATTTATTTTGTTTTTTCAATAAAAATATTTTTCATTTTAAAAAATCAAAACTGTGTGCTATTAACTGTGTACACCTGATAATCACTTTGTATATTTGAATACAGAATTCTGAATGGCATCCTTAGATCAGAGAAGTGATCCCAAGTAAATTACACAATGATGTCCAGTAATGACTCATTGCACAAAGAGAAGGGTGAAGGACAGAAGACCAGGTGGTACCACTTCCAGAGAAACCATCAGCAGAATTCATAGGAACACCCTATTCATAGGAACACCCAAATAAGAGATACTGAAATAGAAAAAGAAACACAGTAGAGATGCTCAGAGAGCTGAAGCACATGCATTCCTCTGGAATGATGCAACAGGCAACATATAACCTAAGGGCACAGAACTCAAGCTTAGCACTTGCATTTCCAGGGAAGCACTGATTGCAGCATTTCTAATAGCTCAACAACAGACCCAGGCTGTGCATCTCAGAACATAAGCTTGGAAGCAACAAAAGTGCCTCTGAAAACTTAATGGGCAAAGCTACGTGCAAATAAGTGATTTACTTGGGAGCAGAGAAGAATGATGGCCTTGGGTGACTTAATGGACATGAGTTCTGGACTTGCTGCAATTTTAAAGCAGGCAGTTTTGGAACCAGAATAGCAAAGAGGCATTTAACAGAGGAAGGTGGTATTTAGCATTCTGTACCTCACAGCATCCCACACATGAGAAGGAACATTGATGACACTTGTTAGAAAGAGTTTCTGCCCTCACAGCTGGTGTGTTCAGGTCTCCAACAGCTGGATACCAACCCTACAGTCTGTCAGCGTGACCTTTCTGATGTATTTAACTGGTGTTCATGAGGGCAATAGACTCTCCATATCTGCTGAATGAGCTTAGGCCTCCTTTGAAGAATTCAGTGTTCTTTTCTGGAACAGTGGAAAGAGAAAGCAGCAGGAAAGTAAAAGAGCAAGCCACAAGAAAACTTACTCCCTCTTTTCCTCTGCCTGCTGCAGGTAGAAGAATTCTGCGTTTAAGCAAGATAAATCCTGCACGTGTATCAAGATGGGAGGGAATATCATCTACCTGGGAGGAGTTTTGGGAGCTGGATGGGTAGATGGTGGCAGAAGATAATGTTTGAAGACAGAGGAGTGTTGAAGACAGGGACAATTGGGAAAAACAAAGCAAGCAGCAAGAAAGTATCACTTTGTTCCTGAGCTGGTGCTTGAAACAGGTGAAAAGCAGAGGAAGGTCAGGATTGGGCAGAGACTGACCAAGGAGCAAAGCTCCGAGGCTCTGCTTAGGACTTTCATCATTAAGGGCCACCCATAAAGTGTTTTGGATGAGGCGGAAAGAGGAGGTGGAGAACAGAAATGAAACTGCTGTGGGTCTCAGGAGAGGGAAACTGTTCCAAGGCAGGTGGTGCCTGGAGTGCCCAGACTCCTTCCCAGCTTCAGTCTCCATCTTTCCTCCTTCTCAAAGTGCCAGTGACCTACACCCTGCATCTGTGAGCTGCGCCAGCCGATACCCCCAGTGCACAGAGGTTGCCAAAAGATGAAGGGAATGTCACCTTTGGTTCCTCGACTGATTCTTGATAGTGCTGCAGAGCACTTGCTCTGTTCTTTCAGGAGAATCATTGTCAGGACGAACAGCAAAAGGGAAAAGGATGTAACACAGTTGGGGAATTTCCTAATTCCTTCCCCCAAAGGGTGTGTAAGGATTAGGGGGCTTTAAATGAACCCAGCTGAGTCCTGCTGAGCCTGTGACCATTTGCACCATGGCAGCTGTGCTCTCTGCAGGGAGGGGGACTGAGAACATCAGGGTGAGAGTGGATGTCAGTGTGAAGTGATCCATTTCCAGAGAAAACAGGACTGTCCTCTTTTAGTTGTATGGAATTTTGGGAGCTACAGGTGAGTGCATGTAGATCCTGGAGAAGCTTTGACCTTTACTAGCACCGTTGTACTGCTGTTGAACTACCTATTCTAAAAGCTTGCCCATGGATTTTACAGTGCAAAGAGAAATT